GTTCTCCCATACATCATAAAGATTGATCACGTTCGGGTGTTCGATCAGCTTCATGATGACAACCTCGCGCTCCAGCCCGGATGGAATCTGCCGTGGCCCTATTCCTCCCATGCGATTAGCCCTCTTATCCATTCCTGCAATACTCGCGCTCTGCGTTATGGCGGCGGATTTCTTTGATACGATCTTGATTGCAGCCAATTGCCCCGTTACCGAATGCTTCGCCAGTCTCACGCGGCCGCTGACCCCAGTGCCGAGGGTCTTTCCAAGTTGCCATGGTCCCACGTGTGTCTTCCTCTTTCCTTGGTTGGAGATTATTGACGCCGCTGATATTGTAGAATTGCGGTTCGTTCCTGGCTGAGAGTCAGGAGCCGGGGTGCTGCAATTGATATCGGCATTTTTTGCAGACAGAGGACTTGTCACAATGGACATCGGCACCGGCGATGTCATCTGTTGCTGTGGTTGTCTCAGTGGCTCCTCTCGCTCTGTAATCGGGGCAAGGCACTTGTTTACTCTTGCTGAAGCGTCCGTCAGAGGAGTCCGCATTGTTTCGGGAGTAAGAAGAGCGGTATCCTCGTCCATCTGCCCCATATATCGAAAGAGTTAATCAAAGACGCGTCTGCATATGGTAGATAGCCGTATAGGGCTCGATTGTTTTCTGTAGAGCTGCCATGCTGTTAGTAAGAAATAGAACATTGACGCGTATACATCACAATGTAATAGATGGGTACATACAGCTGACAAGCTCTCTCTATAGTCTTGAGAAAATCAATCACGCGTAGTTCTAGGTAACGCGCACGTCGTGCAAACAGCGAATCCTTGTGGTCGTTTGAATAGCCTATTGTCCGTTCCTGCTGTTATGTTAGTACTTCTCTGTCTGTTTGCCTTCTCAGGTCCCCATGTAGTGCTATGAGAAGAAGACAATCAACCACAACATTGACGGATCAACCCAACACCAAACGGCTATTGTTGAGTGAGAGGGGCATAGGATGTGCAGATTAATCTCCAGGAGTACCGGTAATTTCCTGGTGGCATGCTTTCCTGAGCCATGTTCCGCGGTCAAAGCGAGCAAACATGGTTTTTCAGCCTGGTTTGCTACATACCACGGCGAGGAGAGCCTGTGGAATGACCATCGAGTGTTTGTTTTGCTCGGAATTCCTTTTCACCCACCCGAGCATCCGGCAATACTGCGTGAACTACATTTGGAATGCGGAAATCAATCCGACTGTTATGCTTTTCTTGCCAGTACTGCTGACCACAAAAGTTGGAACAACCAAATCCTCTATCCGGATCATCAATGCCACTTAGGCTCCGATGATAGTTGAGGTGAGTACGATGATATCAATTTTCGAGTAAATGGCCCTTCGATGCCGCGTTAACTAGGCTTTGATGGTGGCATCTAAGAATCCGCCATACCCATCTTTTCATAAAATTCTCCAGATGTGATCGAAAACCCCTAGGTTCATCGAAATGCGACGTCATTGCAGACACCGGTTTGATAAAGAGGTGGCTGGGATCTTTGGCAAGTCAAAGGGACAAGCATTCCCCCCTTCGTGGCGTGAAGACAGGGGTTTGCCCGCCCCTCCAGTCTGACGAATACTCCAGACAGGCTTCCTTTGCCCCTTGTCTACACTAGATTTAAATCACAAAGATAGGGATAACTGTTTTCCTCTACTCTTGCATTGGGCTTCGGGGATTTCACCTGCGATCTCTGCTTGTGGACGCAAGCCAGTCCTCGAGTGTCTTATCCAAGATATTATCAAATCACCACTGCTAACACATAACACTTCCTAATGTGTTGATAGGTTCCCTTGTCGAAAAGGATGACGGAGAAACCGAACTTGGAATCCTACAGTACTTCTCGCATCCCACATAGCATACGGAGCATCATGAGTCGCCATATCTCCATCGCATTACTTTTCACTTTAATGACTGGGGATGGGTGTTCTTCTTAAAAAAGTAAATGACAGCGGCCCCAAGATGCGCAGACAATTAGATGTAAACTTTCACCAATGCTCCTCTCCGATCTTAACGTCTTCGACGTCTACTCCTTCCACGAACCATCTTCCCTCTCCATTTCCGTCGGGGCCGATGAGCACATCGTTGCCGCTCATCATTCTCTTACACATCTTTCCTGTCTCCGGATCGAAGGTCCAGTCTTCGAGGCCATAGCAACGCTTCCAACGCAGACTATCATCAGCATCTTGATACTCGTACCAAAACTGCACTGCGATGCGGTTGTTGGTGAATGAAAATAGTTCCTTTCGTAGCTTATAGCTTTTCTCCCTCTTCCATTTCGCCGTCAAGAATTCAATGATTCCTTCTGTTCCAGAGAAGAATGAAGTCCGATTGCGCCAAATACATGTGGGTGTATAAGCCTGTGCAACTCGCACGGGATCCCTACACGCAAAGTCCGTCAGCATTCAAACAAGCAGTAGAGTAGAAACAGTGTGCGAGTTTCAGCAGCTGTTAAGAATGCCGTGGGGTATCAGAGAGAAATGGAATCAGATCACAGCACGGCGTGAAGAATGGGGAACACGAGGTAAAAGGCCTCGGTTGGGCGCAAGGGGTGAAAAGTTGAGTTCACATCAGACTTTAACCCCTCATACCAGCGTCGAAAATGACGACAAAATGCAAGATCGAGGATTCTAGATCTCCCGAGGGATACACATCGTGAAGGAAAATCTCACTTAGTATTCCATAGGTTCTGGGCTGCCTTGACCTTCTTCCGAGCTGATTCTTCAGTGAAAGGGGGCTTGATGTCAGCCATGATTGATATATAATGTGAATATATGAGAGGAGAAGAAACCTCGAATCCGCTGGACAGGGTTGGAATTTTACAGAAGGCGTGAGATGGAGAGCTCATTATTGACTCATTGTACATAAGCCGTTACACGTCACGTGGGGCTAGTGGTCATAGAAGTGATGTTAGCGCTGCACTAGAGGCTTCCGAACTCGGGCGAAGGACGATCAACAACTGTCTAATCATTAGCATGTGGAAATAATATTATACTGAGTAACTATTAATATCGCTGATCACTGAAAGACCTCTTGTTCTGCTCGATATCCTTGGACTCGATCGCTTGAGTTTTGAATGATGTGGCAACCAGTTAGTGCTAGTGCTAGTACACTTCTTAGTAGTATGGGCCGGATATATATTTTGACCACTGTTGTAGTACGACTACTTAGTACATAGTACTGTATAATAGGACTAAGAAGTGCACAGAGCTGAGAAATGACTACTATGAATACTAGTGATAGTGAATGTAGTTAGCTTCTACAGTAGTTTTAGGCTACAATCAGAGTAATATACTTTGTATAAATATATATTGTGAATTAGTACTAGTAGGATTAATCACTTGAAGTTATACACTATAAAGGACGAAATTATCCAAGGAACGCATGTTGTCGATGTCGGTATTTTCCAACTTCCCATGAAGTGATGTAGTAGTCTGCTAATAATACCTCAAGATAGAATATAGTATTTACTACTTATCGTCAGCTTTGTCGAAAATTCAAAGGTTTGTGGAAGGCCACCTCATCCGCACCTGTTGCCTACAGGGATAGCATCCTGCGAGGTGCTTATCCGCTTATCAGCAAAGGTGGCAGGGGGGGTAAGGCTATCCCGGGTTAGGAAGGCCCGCGGCACGATGCGATCCTTCCAGACTAGGAAGCTACCTAATAGGGACAGTAAGGGACCAATCTCAGGACTAAACCGTGCAGCCTACTGAATCTCACCACTCGGACCTGATATTTGCCTTCGGCTTGCAGGGGTATATCATCTCAATATCCTCTAGTGGACGGAAACTAGCAACTAGTACTTTGAGCTGACTCGGCCACTATAAATATGCGGTCTTATGCTCCTCAACGACAGGCAACTGCTCTGACTACCAAAATCTGAGTAGGACTAGCACCGTTGCGAGCTCCTCTTCACGATACCGAATCTTTTATAAGCAAGTGGTCCAATATCCAGGTCTAACGTATCCATACAATGCCTCCGGATGCAAAATCGCCTGGCTACCAGCCTGGTATGGCAGTATTACCATCTAGGCCACATCCTGCCAAGGGAAAAGCCATTCGATTCCTCCTTTCCCTTGCATTGGTCGCGTTTGCTATTGTTCAATTATGTGGTAATTTCCACAAAAATAGGAGCGTTGAACAACAGCTTCAGAGTCAAACACTTGATGATGAGTCCTTTAAATGGGAAGATGTGTGTAAATCTATCACGTTGGGATGTAACGTTCTAACGCACTCTATTAGGTTACTCCTACCAAGCAACTCGTATACCATCCATGCTTTGGTGATCACGAATGCGCTCGCTTGTCGCTTCCAATGAATTGGAACCGAACTGATGGTGAAGGGTCAAAAATTGCCTTGGCGGTTATCAAACTTCCTGCCAAGGTACCTGTCACAGATGCGCGATATGGTGGTGCCATTCTTCTGAATCCAGGTATGTAGAGCCATATTGCTACTCTTCAGCGGCTGTGCTGAGTTTCAAATAGGTGGTCCTGGTGGATCCGGAGTGAGCATGGTCTTTAGATACGGGAAAGCTATCCAGACCATCGTCGACTCCCCAGAATCACCAAGTGCAGATTCAGCGAGCGGAAAGTATTTCGATGTTGTTAGCTTTGATCCAAGAGGGGTCAACAACACAACACCTAATTTTTCCTGCTTCCCTGACCCCGCGACGAGGAAAGCGTGGTTACTGCAGTCAGAGGCAGAGGGTCTACTTGGGAGTTCTGAAGGAGTCTTCGATACTCGATGGGCAAGGTACGAAGCTTTTGGTATGAGCTGCAATCAACAAGGAGTCACAGCGTCAAAGGATGGAGAATGGATAGGAAAATTCATGAATACGGCCCCCGTGGTGGCGGATATGGTTGAACTCGTAGAGCGCCATGGAGAGTGGCGTGAACGGGAAACAGAGCGGCTACTTTCGACAGCTCCGAACACTTTCCCAGTTGGAACAAACGTTGACGCCGAGAGGATAAGGCTGCACAACCGTTGGAAAAAAGGGGAGGAGAAGCTGCTATACTGGGGCTTTTCCTATGGGACAATCCTGGGTTCCACGTTTGCGGCTATGCAGCCTCATCGCATAAACCGTGCTGTCATAGACGGAGTCTGCAACGCTGATGATTATTACGCCGGCAACTGGCTTACCAATTTACAAGATTCGGATGCAGCATTCAATAAATTTTTCGAGTACTGCTACACAGCTGGCCCATCAGCGTGTCCGTTTGCGCTCGGCGGAGATCCCGAAGATCTCAAGTCTCGTTATGAGCAGATTTTGACCAATCTTACATCGAGCCCTATTGCTGTGTCTCCTTCTGGAAATAGGGGCCCAGAGATAATAACCTATAGTGATGTGAAGTCATTGGTCGTGCAAGCTCTCTATGTGCCTTTGAAATTATTCGATTTGGTGGCTAGGCTATTAGCTGAGCTCGAGCAAGGTAACGGCTCTTCATTCGCTGACTTGAAGTATGAAGCCAAACAATGGCCAGTACCGCCTCCATGCGATTCCTCGTCCACACAATACAAAGTACCTGGCGAGAGTGATCAGGAGGCCGGGAGGAATATCCTATGTACAGATGGTCCAGGCCTCGACGGAACTGCCAAGGAGGATTTCCGGAGCTACTGGAATATGCTCCGGGGACAAAGTAAGGCGGTTGGAGATTTCTGGGCCGAGGTTCGCATGTCGTGTGTCAAACTGGAGACGCGACCTGAGTGGCGCTATGATGGTAGGTCCGACCAACACCATATTATACACACAATATAAGCTGACAGGTATGCGTATCCAAGGGCCCTTCGCAGGCAATACATCGCACCCATTGCTGTTTATCGGGAATACTTATGATCCAGTAACGCCGCTACGGAAGTAAGCTTTGTTCACCTGATCGTAGCAGACTTTGAAGTACAGACTGACGCATAGGCAGTGCTCATACGATGGCGCGTGGATTTCCTGAGTCAATCGTTCTAGAGCAGAACTCTGTCGGAGTGAGTACCTTATCTGTTCCCCAACCCATATGCAAGATGACTAACTGTTCAATGTCGCAGCATTGCACACTGAGTGGCCCATCCTTGTGTACAGCGAAAGCGATACGCCAGTATTTCCAGACCGGAGAGTTACCTGACCCCGGAACTGTTTGCCAGGTAGAGGAGCTTCCCTTTCGTCTTGCCGGATATGAGAGAAGTCAGGTCATGTCGCCAGGTGACACAGAATTGATGTCCGCCTTGCATTCGCTGAGCGAGTTCCGCCATCTGCTAGGCGCGTGAAAAAGGTTAAATAAGTGTCGCCAGCGAGCGCTGCAGTTATTAATCCTTTACATCATAGGAGCTGGCTAGAATGTTAACGATGCAGTTTGCCCCTGTATCTCGACCAAGAGCATGAATAACACATTATATCAGCAAATGTTATTGAGCAAATCAATTATTCACCTGCACTCAATTCAATTTAAGATCTGTTGCCTAGACTACCAGAATTATTAAGGCGACCTTATCGAAGCATTTGCAGACCAACCCCTGTCCATCGTCAGGGGCAAGACAGACATTTCTTCTAGAACCCGGATGATGTATAATCGCGGTGGGGAAGATCATCCTAAACCATTGCCCCAGACTCGCCTACCTTAGGTAATCCATACAAATGCCGGGGAAATCACTGAGGTGTTGTTCATCACGGCGTTGAATCGGCTTCTGCGGTATTACCACCATAACTGTAGCACCCAAGCGCGCTCAGCCACCGAAAGTTGAGTTCCGTGATCGGGGGTCGACCTGGCTTCCCTATGGTTGGTTGGCCAATCTTATCAGATGCTCGGATACCAGGACCCGTGCCTACAAAGTAAGCAGTCCAACGGGTCCGACACAAGCCGAGGATGACCACATCATAGTAATCTACCTAAGTGGCAAGGCGGGATATGGTATTCCTATCCACGGTAGCAATGTACGAAAATGTTTCTCTCTGGCTGAACCAAACCCATTTCCTGAAAAGAGAGTTTGGGTAGGAAAATCTTCGGGGACATGTAGACTATAGTGGCGGTCACCACGCACACCAAGGTCCCTGAGGATATTTGCAGGTGGATGGGTTACGTATTGGCTTACTTGGCAGAGGAAGAGCAGGGCGGTGATGTGTGGAGACCAGTGATTGGCTTGATATTGGCCTAGATGGGGCTGTTTTCTCGTGATTCGGGATTTTAGACCAATAGGAGGCGAGTCTTGGTGCTGGGATGGAGGGGCACTGCATGTATGCCTGAGGTGTCGAGGTGGGATGGTTTCCTCAGTATCATCTTTAAAAGGCAGAGATAAGCTTGTTGGCGGTGATATAACGGAGGGAAGGGGAACTGGGCTGTTGATACAGCTACACATTAAGGATTCGGAGAATTGAGTGGCAAACCCCGTTATTCGGAGAAAGAAAAGCAGTTCTGTGTCCATTTCGGATTTACGGCTGACCTCTCCTTTGGTTCTGCGAATAGGCTTGATATGCAGTATTGATTGATTCTTAGTTGCCAATGGCTATCCCCTAAGCATATTGATAGAAAATCCATCTGAATTGGGAACCAGGTTGGAGGTGGAGTGGCGTCAGGATCAGGGGTTGTACGAGAAGTAACCAAGCTTTGGTTGTACCGATGCAGACTCGGACGAAGCGCCGGCTTGGTTGGATTGACTGTCTCTGATAACTAGATCTGCCAGTTGATACCACGCCGCAAGAGGATAATGAGCCTCGGGAATTGATACTCTACTGATAGCAGTGCTACTTGGCTGCAGAATTGATGCCCAGAAGTCATGAGCGTGATTTGTGATGGCCCAGAGATGCAAGCCAGATAGACCCATGATTGAACCCTGCAGAGAGAGCCGACCTAGTACGGGATATCTGATCCGGAAACCCATTCCAGGAAGAAGCAGCAAGACATGAACATCGCCTCGAGGGCCGATTTGTCAACGGGGACGGTCTAGATATGGTGGCCAGCGGACGGGAATGGCGCAGGCCCGAAAAAGGAATGCGTGGTGGGGTCAGTCAGTCTCGGGCGGTCTTCTTGATAATACAGTTCCCCCTCCAAGCCCTACCAATCGAAGAGTTTCGGTATCCTTCTGCTTCGGATCACCTCATGGCGCCGTGGGCGGGCCGTCGCCGCATCATTCGTTGCCCTTGACACAGGAACCATTCGCTGAACTGAAGCTAAGGTCGAATTACCCGCCACAGGCTCGTTGCCCCGTTCCGTCTCCCCTTCTTCCCTATATAACCAACCTTCCATTCCCTTCCCAAACTTCTTCACTCTCACAACTCATTACTACTACTACTACTACTCAATCACTCTTAACCTTTCTAGTACACGTTACTACCAACTAATCTCATTCACAATGTCTGGCCTCAACCCCGGTGACAGCTTCCCCGCTGACGTTACCTTCTCGTGAGTATTCTTCACTCTCTTTCTCTTCCTTCTTCGCTGCCCCTCCCCCACCGTCTTCCGCCTTTCCGGTTGTTGGTGCTTCCTGAGCAGCAACGCAACCATATACTGTTGTCACCATATACTATTACTAGTACATCAACTAACATACTTGCTCCTTTCACAGCTACATCCCCTGGTCCGAGGAGAAGGGCGAGATCACTGCTTGCGGTATCCCCATCAACTACTACGCCTCCAAGGAGTGGGCCGACAAGAAGGTCATCCTCTTCGCCCTCCCCGGTGCTTTCACCCCCGTCTGCTCTGCTCGCCACGTCCCCGAGTACCTTGAGAAGCTCCCCGAGATCCGCGCCAAGGGTGTCGATGTTGTTGCCGTCCTTGCCTACAACGATGCCTACGTCATGAGCGCCTGGGGCAAGGCCAACCAGGTCACCAACGATGACATTGTAAGCCTTCTTCTTTCCATGTTATAATTACACACCAGGGATACTAATTGTTTCTTAGCTCTTCCTGTCTGACCCCGAGGCCAAGTTCTCTAAGAGCATCGGCTGGGCCGACGAGGAGGGCCGCACTGGTCGCTACGCCATCATCATCGACCACGGCAAGGTCACCTACGCCAAGCGTGAGCCCGCTAAGAACCACCTCGAGGTAAGCTTCTCTCCTTTCCTTCAACTCCAGGTGAATGGTTACTAATAATCACCGCAGTTCTCGAGCGCCGAGACCGTCCTCAAGCACCTGTAAACGTGTCATTCAAAGACAATAGACATGGCAGGCGTCCGATGATAGATAGCGTTGACATTGACATCCTGGTGGGATAATGCGTTAGAGATTAGACAGAGCCACTAGATAGAAAGAATATCAACGCGCTTACGAAGCTACGACAACATTGTTCATATTGTAGTATGATGTCAGTAATGTATGTTCAACAATCATTTAGGTTAACTTTAGAAGAATGAGAAAACAACTCCATAAGCTAAAAAAACAAGCTAGTTTAATTTCCAGCTAAGATTGATCTACAAAAAAAACCCGGACATCAAAGCGTCAACCTGACTAGGATTGACTTGTCGTATTTAACCGTCAGCCAACGATTATTGGTTGCGTTGCCTTTCTGTGCGTCGGAGTGGCTGATCCCATCTTCTCAGTGTCGGCCGGAAAACTGAAACTTGACGGCGGACACCGCGCTAAACCAAACCAGCCCAATCCATTCCATCATTCCAGACCCGGATCTTCTGCAGGGATCTTTAAAGCTTTATTCAACTCCAATCCCCCTCTCCTACAGTTTTAAATATATTAGATTCTGTTCTACCCCTCGACATTTCCTTCGCACAAACACAACACAACCGGCCATCATGGCCTCCCATCCTGCGAAGCGCAAACCTGCTGCTCCCAACAACAATTTCTCCGCCGCCGCCGCCCGCAAACGCCAAAAAACATTTGATGCGCGCTCGCTCGCCGTGCAGGCCGCCGACGCGGCACTATCTGCCTCCGGCGAACTAGATGTCGCTGCGTACGTGGAAGCAAGGGAATACGAGATCCGATCGCTCGAGTCGGGGATCCAGCGATCGAAGAATGCGTTGACGAGTCGGGCGTTCCAGAAGGTGCCGAGGTCTTTGAGGAGACGGACTGCGAGTCATAATGTGAAGAGGGTACCGAAGAGATTGAGGGCGAGGGCGAAAAGAGAGGTATATTCTCCCTTTCGACAATTATTGGGGGTTTGGTGGTATGCAAGAACAAGAAGATTCTAATGTATGATTCTGTGTCCAGATGATAGAAGACAACACCCCCACGGTATCATCACGAACCCGCAAACCCACCGAACAAATGCGCATTCGGCTCGAAACCGCCCGCCGACTACAGAACCTGAACGCGAAGACGAAAGCCAAGCGCACGGCCCTGAAAGATCAGCGAGATAAAGAGGTCCGGAAGACGTTGGAAGAATCAGGTAGTCATGCGTATGACATTGCGCCCCGGGTGCCCAAAATCAAGAAGAATAAACTGTCGAGGCCGAATCCGCCGGAAGCCAGGTTCAAGAAACGCCAGCAGTGCAAGACTTGGTTGCCGACGCATATGTTTCATGCCAAGAGGGCGCATATGGCTACTTCTAAGGATCCGTTGTGGCGGTTTGCGGTGCCGTTGTCGCCTACGGAGAAGAGCTATCGGCCTACGCATCGGGCGAGGGGGTCGAGGGGCGCGGTGGCGTGGGATATGAGCTATCTGGCTACAGTTCAGTTGGAGGGGACGGTGGGGGCGATTGAGGGGGTGTTGAGGGCTGTTGGAGTTGAGGGGGAAAAGGCGTGGGGTGTTAAAGGGAGGAAGTGGAGGGGTGGCACGAGGGGTTTGCGTGCTTGGGCATATGAGTGGGAGGGTGAGAGGAGGCCGATTGCGCCGGTTACGTTGGTTTGGTGTGCTGAGGTGAAAGGAGAGGATGTGGAGATGGTGGATGCTGATGAAAGTGGGACGCAGAGGAAGGGAAAGAAGGACTGGAGGAAGGTGTTTGTTCGAGTGCATCCGTCTGCGTTTTTGCAGTTGTGGAATGCCCTCCTGGGTGTCTCGAAGAAGCAGAACCCTCCTGTTATGGTCGAGGATTTGCGGTTCGAGATTGGCAGTATCGAAATTACTGGTCCCGGCGCAACGGAGGCATTGCTCGCGTCGTTCAAGCCGGTTGCTATGGATGGGAAGGATATTGCTGAGGATAGTCCGGAGGCTATTTGGACTTCGCTCCTTGGGGTAACGAACCCTGCATCTCTGCCGCAGGACGCAGTCCTTGGGTTCTCTGTCTCCGACCCTCGCCTCGAATTTCCGCCCAAGACTCTGAAGCCGTCGTCGTCAGAGGATGAGATGCAACGGCTGGCTATACTACTTTCGTCGTGGTCGCCAGACAACACGCAGACAGCCCCTGCTCTCTTCGATCGTCGCACCCGTCTAGCTGCCGCACGCCAGCTGCCTAGCCAAAAGGCTATCAATCGGCGTCGTTCCGAAGCTGGTCCTGGTGTACGCCCGCCCGCCAAAGATACCGACCCCAAGGTACCTGTGATGGTTCTCGCCAGTCGACCTGCTCACTCCAAGAGCAGCAGCGCCCCTGGAACCTGGACTGTCCTTCTCCCATGGAAGTGTGTGCTTCCTTTTTGGTACTCGCTAATGTACTATCCTCTCTCGAGCGGCGGAAACCCGAGATTCGGCGGTCTGAAAGAGCAGCAGCAACTCTCATTCGAGTCAGGAGAGCCTTGGTTCCCGGGAGACTTTCCAGGAACCCGCGCTGGCTGGGAATGGGGCCTGCGTGAGCGAGAAGAAGCGAAGCGCGACTGGGAGCGACGCCCCAAGGGACGCAGAACCGAGTTCGAGAGCGTCGACCTGCGGAATGGTCAAAAGGGCGAGATAGGACGCGGCTGGGCCTGCGACTGGGAAAGACTCATTCAGGGAGCACCAGAGACGAGCAGTACAACAGACAAGGAACAACCCGAAATCAAAGCCGACGACACCACCAGCCCTCAAGACAACAACACCAATGCCATCCACCCACCACTGAATATCCACCAACTCTCAACATCTGAAGCAGCACGCGCCCTAACCGACGCCTCAAACACCCCCATCAACACCTCAGCCCTAGCAACTGTCAAACTTACCCTCCTCAACCGCGGCACACCCACACCCCGAGCCCGCATCTACCGACTCCCTACCACCGATCCCGAGCTCCGCCAGAATTGGCTCTCGCTGTCATCAAACAATTCCAACGATAATCTTAGGGATCAGCTGAAGAAGAAACAATCTCCTCGCGCCGCCCCTCTCGGCGAAGAAGATGTCCGGCAACAGCTCGCTGCATCGCTTATCACCCCGTCTGCGGATGATGATGTCCGTCAAAATCACTTGCCGGTTCCAACTGAGGAAGATCTCATTGGCTTCGTCACGACGGGCAATTACAACCTTGCGGAAGGAAAGGGTACGGGTATTGGATCTGTTCTGTTGTCGAAGGTGGGGAAGGGGAAAGCGAGTGGCAGGAATATGTGTATTATAAGGAGTGCGGGGGAGACCGTGGCGAGGGTGGGATTTTGGGAGTTGGTTTGATGGTCTGTGTATAGATGGATTGTTGTTGCATGATACCCTGTGTGTCTTTGATTGATTGTTTGAGGAGGAGAGGGTTAGAAGCATAGAAAATGATAGAGCTGAATGTTGAAGTTCTGCCCATTTAGTTGGGAGAATTCAAAGAATCCATACTTGCTCCAACCACAGCATACTAAAAACAAATAATGTAGAACAAAACTGGTAACCTTCTCTAGCAAGCTAGGTATACATATACACACATGCACAAGCCCGGGAGGCAGAACTCAGGGACACTCGCAGCAGCAGTCGAACAAACACACCGCTACATCTCAACTCTATCAATATACCTCGTCATTCCCATCAAAAACTAGGGAATAAGTTTACCCAACGATCCGATCCACAAACCCCTCCTCCAACCTGGCAACCTCCTTCTTAAACGCCTCCACCTCCTTCCAACAATCCAACGGCCTCCGATCATTCAACCTCAAACAACTCACCACATCCGATCTTGCCTTCTCAATCCCCGCATCAATCTCGACCAACTTCTTCCGTCCCTCCAACTTCGCCCGCAGCTCCTCGATCTCACTGTTCACACTCTCCCGCGACAGTTCCCGGTTGATTGGCTGCTGCGCCGCTTCAACCGCCGCCGGAGGGGCCGTGTAGTAGCTCTCCCGCCCCGCGAACGGGATCCGGGGCGCATCCAGGTTCAGAGATCCGGGTGGGTAGTAGGAGGCAGTGCTGGGGGCGGAAGCGTAGGTGGGTGCGGAAGAGGTGTCTTTGGCTTCAGCCAGCTTCTTCTCGATTTCGGCCAGCGTTTGCTGTTCGCGGGCACGCAGGCGCTCGAGTTCTTGGGCGACGCGCTCTTGGATTTGGAGTTCGAGGGAGCGGGCGCGGGCGGAGTCGGTCTGTTTTTATTTCCACTTGTGTTAGATTGGGCTGAGATGGGGGTATGGTGGGTGGAAAGTACGTACCTCGGTGTTGGACTGGAGGCCGTCAACGAAGTTGGCGGAGAATTGGACGGGGGAGGAGCTGTTGGAGGTATTTTGTTAGCTGGAGTCTGTTTGTCAGATGGTTTTGGAGGGTCATTATATCAGATTATGTTTTGGCTGGGTAGATGCCAATATCAATATCAATATCCTCGGTGAAGAGTCCGGCTCGATGAATGCATTGAGCGCGTCCACTGACATCCCAGCCCAAGCCAATCGAAATATCAACAACCCTCAGAGAAATATATATTCGTCCAGTGTAACGAGCAAAGCATCCTACCTCGAGAAAACGTGCTTCGAGTCGGCCGGAGCCGCGGGCTTAGAGCTGCCGGCGCCCATGATGTGCGGATATCGGGTTCGTGTCCGTGACTTCCTTCAGCCGAAGCTGTCTGTGTTGTTTGGTGGCCGGAGGGGAGAGGCGAGTGTAGTTCGGTTCAGTGGAACACCGCAATGGCCGCCGAGAGATCCTGATCGAGGGCAATTCCTGTGTCGGAGCAGGGAATTGCATATCGTCAAGGTCCGTTTCTGAAGCCGACTTCCGCCGGGTCACGTGGAATTAGTCATTGTGTTTGCCTGAGGCATATGTTGGCTTTTGATGCCTTAACGCCTTCGGCTGCTCTAACTGCAAAGGTGCCTTTATGCCTCAGGCTATTGTTACTGGATTAGTCACGGGGCTTCCGTTTTGGGATGGATGACTTTTTACTTTCTTGGACGCTGAAGGTTGGGTAGAGATGCAGTTGGTGCCCGGATATGCTGGGATGATTGGCTAGGGGAAAGTGTAATAGATTGCGGTTGCTTACTATGGTTTTTGTATGTGGTGGTGTTGTTTCTTGAGTGGCTGTATTGCGTGTTAGACTTCATGGGTCTTCAGAGGGTCAGATCATGGGCAATTAGGATTTGATGGTGAGAAGGAGGAACTGCTTCATATGAAATACTCTGTAGCAGAGGAATAGACATGTTGTTCCTTTCTTTACAGACTGAAGACTAGCTATCGTCACGTTGGTCAGTAGCATACTGTGTCGGATCTCACGTGCTTGAAGATCACTCGGCCTATCGTCCTGTTCGCTATCACTAGTTGGGTGACGTAGCAATGTAAACTACGGAGTACTCTCTACATGCAAACAATAATGACAGACCTGACATGATCGAAGCTCATAAGTGGCTGTCCTGAGAGGGAATCTCGCAGTGATACTGCAGCATGCAGGAAGCAAGCCGTGAAGTGGATGGTTGCTTGCATAGGCTGGACGGTTACTTAAGGTTACGTCGAGACTCCCCTGATCATCATCTTCTGACAGCTAGACTAGTCCGTCCTAAAGCAGACGGCCGTAGTTGGCATATATTCACTTTGGCATTGTGCTGGTAAGATGCTCATGTCAGCATCTCCAGGTTCCCCAATGCCCCAGACGACCGCATCCGGAGATTGGGGAAGGCCAGCATCACCAGTTCACCCACCGCGTGTAGTCTCCCTCTCCTGACGCAGAGGCCAAGCACGAGAATGGCATTGTGGCATTGCATTGTGTGCAACAGCCATCCTCGCCCTTCCATTTCCTTCGCTGCTAACCAATTCCCTCTCACCGGTGAACGACGGCTTAAACCCCACCATGTGGTTTCATGCGTCATGGCAGAGACGCGGGCGGATTCGCTACCGACTCGCGGCAACCCCGTCTTGCAGGCAACTGGGCCACTTTTAGTGCGAGGAGTGGCATCTGGAGACCGGAGAGAACCACGCACTAAGTCAGAAACCTGGGACAGGGCGAGACATCGGCAATGCGAGAACTCGGAAGGGGGGTGGAAAGCTGAGGGGAATAGAGAGAGAAGAATACTAGCGAACCCTTTTTCAATTTCCCTGTGGCCACGACTGGCAAACCCGGCGAACCCGGCGTTCCCGTTGGCTTGAGCCCGTCGGACTGACCTCATCGACCCCTCCAGCGCGAGATTATTAGTTGTTTCCTGGGCTTCATGGCTCTGCTATTAATACGCCCACTTGCTCCCCCTTCATCATCGTATGCTCATTCCGGATAGTTAGACTCTTCCTACTCGTATTATTCTTCTCCTTCCTCATCCTTTGTTCCCTCCACATCCTCTACTCTCTCCCTCCATCTCCATTCCCCGAATTCCCTCCAGCTTCCGTCTGCCCCTCCCCATATTTACTTGCTTGGACCCCACCATCTGGTATCCCCCACCACTTTTTTTCCTTCACCACACTGTGTTTATTCTCATCTCAACAAATCTTGAGACTCCTTTCATTTCCCACCTTTTTACGATACTCCTCCATATTTCCACATCTCTTCAGTCATAATGTCATCTGCTCTCCTTGACGAGGCTGCGCGCATTGCCCGCCAGTTCGACTACCCCGCTGCTGAGGTGCAGCGTGGAGTGACGGAATACATTCGTGAGATCGATGAAGGTTTGTCCAAGGAGCACACGACCCTCAGTCAGATCCCTACCTATGTCACGGCGGTGCCCAATGGCACGGAAAAGGTACGTTTCACACCAATCAGCTCCCTCCGCAAAACAGCAGCTGACCTGGTCGTTGGCAGGGATTGTACCTGGCAGTAGATCTCGGCGGCACCAACTTCCGCGTGTGTTCGATCGATCTACATGGAGACACTACCTTCTCCCTTACCCAGTCCAAGATCATGATTCCTCGTGAGACCATGGCGTCCGGTACGGCCAAGGATCTCTTCTTGTTCTTGGCCCGCCAAATCGAATCGTTCCTGCGCATTCACCACAACGACCACTTCGAAGCTCACCTGCGACGCCGCAATGAGAAGAATGGCAACTGTGAAGAGGACCTGTTCGACTTGGGTTTCACCTTCAGTTTCCCCGTGCGTCAGCTGGGCATTAACAAGGGTACCCTGATTCGCTGGACGAAGGGCTTCAACATTCCCGATGCGGTGGGTAAGGATGTCTGCGCATTGCTGCAGAACGCCATCGATGATCTGGGCCTCCCGGTGCGCGTGGCTGCCTTGGTCAACGACACTGTCGGAACCCTGATGGCTCGTTCATACACCTCTCCTGGAGAGACGGGCACGTTCCTGGGTGCTATCTTTGGCACGGGCACCAATGGCGCCTATGTTGAGAAGCTGGACCGGATCACTAAGCTGCAGACCATTGAACACTCCGAGTACGACAAGACCACCGGTGAGATGATTATCAACGCCGAGTGGGGCAGCTTCGACAACCACCTGAGTGTACTGCCGAACACCATCTACGACCAGCAGCTCGATGCCGACAGCAACAACCCCGGCATTCAAATGTTCGAGAAGCGTGTCTCGGGTATGTTCCTGGGTGAGATCTTGCGCCGCGTCATGCTGGACATGCAGCGCAACGAGTCCCTGGGCTTCCTCCGGGCTGGCGGCGCTTCCACCGTTTCTGTTCCCCAGGAGTCCTCCCTGTACCGCCAATGGGGTATTGACACCAGCTTGTTGAGTCTGGTCGAGGCCGACAAGACTGAGAATATGGAGCAGATCAAGGTCGCTCTGAAGGATCACCTCAAGATCGAACGCCCCACCACCGACGACTGCAAGGCCATCCAGACCGTTGTTCATGCCATTGGCAAGCGTGCTGCTCGTCTGAGTGCCGTCCCGCTGGCTGCCATCCTCCTCTCTACTGGCAAGCTGCAGAAGGATGACCTCGTAGACATTGGTGTGGATGGCAGTCTGGTCGAGTTCTACCCCAACTTCGAAGGCTACATGCGTGATGCCCTCCGCGAAGTGCCCGAGGTTGGAGAAGCCGGCAACAAGAAGATCCGCATTGGTATCTCCAAGGATGGCAGCGGCGTGGGTGCTGCTCTAATCGCCCTCGTTGCTAGCAAGGAGGAGGCCCGCAGAAAGTCGCAATAGTGGCCATCAGAACCATTTCGCAGGATTTCCGCATTGGTTAGGTGTTTGAAGAGCGGTTGGGGGACGGATATTTGGGCATATTTGATCTTTTACGGCGTTGTACAGCTTACTGGAATTGTGAATATATCCTAGGTCGGAATGAATTTTTCTTATTACTATTTTCTTGATCCGTATGGCGACAGCACAGCAGCTTGCCAACCAAGAAGTAGTTAGGCCGACATGGCCAGTCCGAATTATAACGCTGCTAAGCCAACACGCGTTGCTCCTGAGTTGCCAACGCGACCAAGCGGACAAAGCGACGGCACGAGGAGCGAGGATGCTATTGCGCGCCACTGCCGCCCAAAGTCATCTCCAAGTCGGAAAGAATTCAATAGTGCCTGAATTAGAGTCTATCTTTCTTTGACCACTTGATTGGCACAAAACTCAACGACATAAATAGCATGGCAGGTACTTAGTCTAGATGCAGTCCGGCTCCCACCAATCCTTGCTTCAGGGGCAGAGGTTAGGATCCGATCGAAGTTAATCCATCCTTTGTAAATTCCCCTATTCCGATTTTCTTTGATATTCTTTGTGGGAACACCGTCTGATCATGCCCAGCTAACAGGAATCTTTCAAGGCTTCTCCGGATAGAAATCTTTCCGATGCCGGAATGTCAGATGCAAACACCATCCACGCTCAGTGTGACCTTCGCTGTGCCCCGTCACGCTGCCAACCACTCCAGGGTATACCTGTAGCTTGCACAACCTGACGGCTGGTTCGAAATACGGATTGCCTCTGCTCCTGAATGGTTTGGCGCCTTGACTGGCGCAACAAAGCAAGGGGGGTGCCATTGGGCCTGACTGGCGTGGCTACAAGATGGTGACACAAGCTGGCTTTCATTACGGCAATCGTCGTCAGCCAGTGAAGCCGGAAAGAAGGTTTCCTTGAGCCGTCTTTCTCCTTCACTGCTGATCCTCCTTCCTGCCCTTTTTTGTTAAACTGTTCCTGGCTCGTTATTAAGATAACTGCTGTCATTTGGCAGACCAGAGGAGGATTGCTTCTTCTGCTATCTTCATCGTTGGCTGCTGCTTTGAGTACCGTCATAGTGCTCTGGCTTTGAGAGTGATTTCAGGCCTTTCACGCCTATCTTCACCATGGATGCTGCCAACGTTCAGAAGCAGCAGGGACCGTTTGCTGAACTGAAACCATTCAAAGTCACGCAGACAGAGGGAAACGGTTCCGCTAGAAGCAAAGACAGTACACTCGTCGACTCTGCGCGAGCTACCTCCCCTCACTCACAGACGGTCGAAGCAAAGCATGAGCCCAAAACACCCAGCTCGATACATAGCCATGGAAATGCGGAACCTGAGCCGGAATATCCCACTTCGTGGAGACTCGCGCTGATCGTGATTGGGCTCTGTCTTTCGATCTTCTGCATGGCTTTGGTGAGTATTCCAAGTACATACGCAAGCGATCGTGCTAATGGCATCAGGACAACACCATTCTGGCGACTGCAATCCCCAAAATCACAGACCAATTCCAGTCACTCGGTGACGTGGGTTGGTACGGCAGTTCCTACCTCCTTACAACGTGCTGCCTCATCCTGGCCTTTGGCAAGCTGTACACTTTCTACTCCACCAAATGGGTCTATCTGATGGGGCTCGCGATCTTCGAGATTGGTTCTCTGATCTGCGGAGTGGCTCCCAACTCGGTTGCGCTGATTATCGGACGGGCGATAGCTGGCCTTGGGGCCGCCGGAGTTTTCTCGGGAGCCATGATCATTATCTCGCAGACTGCACCGCTCAAATGGAGGCCTTTCCTTACCGGTTCTATCACCTCCATGTATGGAATTGCCAGCGTAGCAGGGCCCCTGATGGGTGGTGCGTTCACAGATCATGTCAGCTGGCGATGGTGTTTCTATATCAACCTTCCAATTGGCGGCGCGACCATCTTCTTCATCCTGATATTCTTCAAGGCACCCAAATCAGTCAAGAGTACCACGGGGCTTAAGGATAAGCTGTCGCAGTTTGACCTGCCTGGTACATTTGTCTTTTTGCCAGGAGTCATCTGCGTCCTGCTCGCACTGCAATGGGGCGGGACCACTTACGAATGGGGGAATGGTCGCATCATCGCCCTGCTGGTGTTGTTCGGGGTCCTCATCGGTATATTCATAGTGCTACAAATGTGGGGTAACGAGAAAGCCACGATCGCTCCGCGACTTATCAAGAATCGAAACGTATGGGGCGCTGCACTGTTCAGCTTCTGCGTTGGCGGTTCATTTTTCGTGGCTGTCTATTACGTGCGTGACCCTCCTTTCAAATTCCTTTAGAAACCTGCTAACATCCACCAGCTCCCCATCTGGTTCCAAGCCATCAAAGGTGTTAGTGCCACCAAATCCGGCATCATGAACCTCCCCATGTTGCTCAGCGTCGTCATCTTCTCCATCGTAGCAGGCGGCCTGGTCTCCACATTCGGATACTACACCCCATTCATGCTGATAGCCCCAGCTTTCGTAGCCGTCGGCGGCGGCCTTCTCTCCACTATGGGCGTGCACTCCTCGGCGGGCCACTGGATCGGATACCAGATCATCTTCGGCGTGGGCGCAGGCCTGGGCATGCAACAGCCGATGATGGTGGTGCAGGCGGCGCTGAAAATCGCCGATGTGCCCAGCGCGACGGCTATCGTGGCGTTCACGCAGACACTAGGAGGAGCATTGTTCGTCTCCGTGGCGCAGAACGTCTTCCAGAATGAACTGCGCAAGAACCTGTCACAGATATCGGGCGTTGATCCTGCTTCTGTCATGCAGGCTGGGGCAACGATGCTACGACATGTCGTATCTGCGGACCAGCTGCCCGCCGTGCTGGAGGCATATAATGGAGCCGTGACCACGACGTTCTATGTAGCGGTAGCTATGGGAGCATTGAGTATCTTTGGGGCGTTGCCTATTCAGTGGATTTCTGTGAAGGGGAAGAAGATGGGACCGCCGGCAGCAGCATAATCAGCCACAAGCTATCATGCTTTAAATGCATGTGATTAAGTATAGGAATTGTATAATGCTAAGTAGTTAAGCGACGGACAATACATAGATTTAATAAGGAAATAAAGAATGATGGCCAAGGACGAGGTATCACGCTGACAAAAGAAATGTAAAGACTGACCACACCACCTCTCCCTCCTATAACCCTAATACCAACAACAGTAGAAAAAGGGATTAAACAACAGCATACAAACTCAAATACACCCCCCAAATCACCCCACACGCACTCCCAAACACGACGCGCCGATCCACCGGCACAACCGTGTACATGAGCAACGAGACAACAGGTCGGTATTTGAGTCTCGCTATCATGATAGGTTTGAAGTCCTACACGCCCACCATTCATTAGCTCCCACCAGACACACACACACAGCCCACACATATCATCTCATGATATGCAATGGACTGAAATTAAGAATAAACGGAATAGGAAGCATACCTCACAAACCAACCCCCAAACATCCCCCAGCCCCACCCCCTTAAGCAAATTAATCAACACAATAAACAGCACGATATTCAATACACTCCCCACCGTCTGATCGAGCAGGAATTTCATGAGGAAGTTATACCATCCTCCTCTGCGCCTCCTTTGCGCAGGGAGGAAGTTTGGGTTCTTTTCTTTCAGAAGAACATTAGAGGTCGGATCCGGGATGGAGATGTATATTTCTCCGAGCCCTCCTCCTCCTGCTCCTTTCTTACCATAGGAGTGAGTAGATGGGGGTGTGGGTGGTGATGATTGGGGAGTAGATGATGATGATGATGATGATCCCCGGAAAAGAAACCCCGGATATCGTCGTTCAAGATACCTCTGCCAGATGAAATTTGGGGGAACGATTATGATCCCGTAGGTGATGAATTGCAGCAGGGCGGGGAGGTTGGGGGTGAATGTGGATTTCTTTTTTTTTTCGTTAATTGATATTGATGTTTTGGGAGGGGGTGGGGGAGGGTAATATGGGATAGATAGATGGGGGAAGCGCTTACGGATTTCCGATGATGGTCTATTATTTGCGCTAGGATGTTGGCGATGGCGTTTAGGATGGTGGATTGGATGAAGGTTGTTGTTAGGGGGGAGACCATCTTTCTTTTTCTTTCTTTTCTTTTTGTATTTTTATGGGTTTATTTTGGGGAGGTTGGTCTGGTGAAGGGAGGGGAGAGAAAGGGTTCTTCTTGTTGTGGTGGTTTAAGGGATGGGCAAGGCTTCAAGGTTAAGGAATGGATGGTATGGACATGGACATGATGGTTTGAGTGTATGGCAGCTGTCAAGTTCAGGGATGAATATAGAGAATAGTATGAAGTTAGTTAACTGATTAAAGATTAACGAATGAATATGGGTGGGTATGATATTACATTCTCATCCCCATAGTAGTCTTGGGGTGATATGTTCATGCAGTGTGGGCACGTGTCCTTTCTGGTTTGGCGTAGTTCTTACTCCTGCCATCATTCCTACAACATCTACTCCAGCAGTACAGGGTCCTAAGTAGATAGTGATATGAGTTTAATTATGATAACAATGATCATCATCTACCTATTCACACAGCTCTCGCCCGTACAATCACATCCGGGCCCTCCTTCGCACTCGTAAAGTGGTCCACCAGCGCCAAATGTCCTTCCTCATCCTCTCCTCTCCGATCGGCCAATTGCATATCAAACAAAAACATCAACCGCGCAATCGTCAACCGCATCTCCATCAGCGCCATGCTCTTCCCAATACATCCCCGCGGCCCAATACTAAAGGGACAGAATGCCCGCCGCGCCATCTCCACATCCTCCCGCGTTGTCTGCCACGCCTCCATCCCCGTCTGACAGATCGCCCCTTCGATCCACCGCTCCGGCAAATACGCCCCGGGCTGTCGGTAATAAGCCGCCTGCCGGTGGATCGAGTACGTTGGCGTCCCGCAATCCGTCCCGCCCGGCAGGAACACCCCGTCCACCACCGCTCCGCCCTCCATCACTTCGCGCGGGGGCGCCCCGGGCACCGCTGGCGCCAGCCGCAGTGCCTCGTCCAGGCACGCCTTCAAGTACACCAGTTCGTTCAGCTTGCTGCCCGTCACGATCTCCTCCACCGAGGTGAAGTTCTCCCGGACCTCTTTCTGCAGCTGCGCCATCGCCTGTGGGTTACGCACCAGGTAGAAGATCGTCGCGGCTAGCGTCGTCGACGTCGTGTCACTGCCCGCGATCATCAGCACGTTGGCCTCGCCCCAGAGCTCAGGGGTTGTCAGGCCCTGGCCCGTCTCGGGATCCCGGGCGTTAAGCAGGTAGTAGAAGAAGTCTCTTTTGGCGTCATGGCCGGCCTTGGTACGTTCCTGGGCGCGCTTGGTCGCTTCCACGCGCGAGTTCATGATGAAGTTCCAACGGTCGTTGGTGAGTCGGTGAATGAAGATTTGGTCGAGGTGCCATCGGTCCAGGGGCATCCAGAGACCGCACTATTTTGTCAGTTCGATGCAGCCACGTTAATCTGCTTGAGAACGTACCACATAGTGTCGGTTTGCAGCCCGATCGACAAGCTCAATCAGCCGTCTCCGACTACTCTCGATCAACATGTCGAAGCTCTTTCCGAAGCACAGCTCGCCCATCACGTCATATGTGAGGTAGCTGAACCAGCGGCCCATGTCCTGCACCACGCCTGTCTGCTGGGCACGCGCTAAGCCCGCGCACAGTTGCCGCACGTGCAGCAGCATCACATCTTCCATGCTCTTGAGTGCATGGTCGGAGAAGGCCTGGCTCAGGACACGTCTTTTCCGGCCATGCATGACCTTGTCAATGACATTGTGTGTGTTGTACACGCCTTTGATGGCGGGGAACGCATTGTAGAAGTCGGCCTTCTTAAGCCGCTTGCCATGCCCGTAGATATCATGGAGGCCTTGAGCAGTGTTCACAGAGACGAAGTTAGGTGCCACGCGGACGTGAGAGCCGTATTGTTCGTGAAGAGCGCAGAGCCACAGGTGCCGGTCTCCTTGAAGGCCATGGTAGAGCTGGACCCAGGGGGTGATGGAAGCGAGCAAGGGACCTGGGATGCGGCGGAGAGGGTGGAAGAAGCGATTGTAGGTTGCGTAGATAAGTGACTGATTCTGTCAGTATGCATAGCAAGTATGCAAGGTGGACACCTCTTCGACATAACGCAGAAGGTGTAAGGGAAACTAGGTATCAACATACCAATCCCACGAGCAGGGCAAGCAACCCCCACCCTAAGCGGGTTACAGAGAGAGCTTGCCAGCCAATTTGGGCCAACATAGTCGTCGAATCCTAGTACTATAGTGGGTGCTGCTAAGAGGTGGAATAATAATAATAGGAAGCTGAAGTATATAGTTCAGCCAGTCAGGGAGCACCGAAGCTAGCCGGGGCCAACCGAGGCCGAGTTCGACCCAAAAAGGAAATCCCCGCAAGCGGATAACAAAGACACGCAAATGACGACAGTCACTCGAGATATCAGAACCACTATCCAGATGGTTGTTTGACTTACAAGACCTTCACTGGCCCTGGAGACTCGTCTACCATTTTATAATTCTCTCTGGCTCGGTTACTTACGGGCTTTCCCTCGCGTCTTCTGCCCCTCCATTCCCCTCCCTCTCTCCTCATTCTGGAGTACGAACTGAAGTGTCTTCCATGGAACTATGCAAAATTCAGCGATTTAGCGCAATAGCTGCGAGGATGCGTCATCGTGGCCAGCGTCGGCTGGTCCATGTATCTACATAGAGAAGTCTGGTTGTCGAATGTCCTGGCCCGGGTACCCCGGGTGCTTCATATCTTCTTTACACTGTAGATGAGGATTAGTAGTAGCTTTGACCGCCGATTTGGTGGAGCCCATCATTTGTATTTCGATTGGTAATGCTCATGCTAAGATTGCTGCTGTCATTTCACGTCGTGTACACCGTCGGAGGATATATATAACCACTCCTATGTGTTTTGTCTCCTGTCGCGGCTATGCCGATAGGGCATTGCTTATCGATCCATGTCAGAGCGGTAGTATTTCCAGAGTCTCGTGGCCCAATCATTGCGTGCTTATATCGGCGCGCCTTATCAGACAAAGCTAAACGAGGCTTGGGCTTTTGTGCTGTTCACTGCATGTGCACTAGAAGGTCGGCCACTGTTGTCCGGCTTGCAAGCAATGTAACCTGCCACTCCAGATAAGCTATTATATCAAATGCCCTTCATGTGTAACCGTGGAGACCGCCATCGAGGATCCATTGCTCGTTATCATCATTATCGTCCTGCACTCTCCGCCAGGTCTGTTTTCGCTCTTTGCGTGCCGTGTCCGCTTGCTCCCCGTCTGCAGACTTCCATACCGGTCGCAACAGCCCTCCAGCTGCAAGAAGAGGATTGTGGCTGAACGCTTTACCGCTGCTTTCTCTGGTCTCTCCATCCCCGAGCTCCTCCTCTGCCTTTGCTTCAGCTTCCTCCTCCGCGGAGGGGCCCGTCTCCGCAGGCCCAGCCGATTGGTAGACCTTCCTCACCTTTCCTCCCTTGATGTCCAGACTCATTATGGTCTTTTTCTTCTCCCATTCTGGCCGTGCCTTTTCCTCCATCTCTCGCATGATCCGCTGCTGTTTCTTAAGCGCCAGTGCTCGCTGCGCGGGTGTCATCCACAGCGTAGATGCTACGTTCGGAGTCTCAAAATCAGCCGCCTCGTCGACCACACGTGTCCGCTTGGCGTTCTGCGCCTGAAACGCAAGCAACTTGTCTCGATGCGCCTTGGCAGCGTCCAGTTTACTGGGAGTTCCTGAGATCATCCCAGGACCACCCTCCCGATGTACACTCTCATTGTGTGCGCGCATCTTCTCCTGTCCGCGCTCCGCCCGCAACTCTCGTATCATGCTCTGAATCTCGTCGTTCGACAGGAGAGGCGTTTTGCAGAACGAACACGGCTGTAGTCCTTCCAGCGAGCAAATGATCTTTCCGCAGTTAAGACAATTCGGCGCAGGGTCAAAGAGAGGATGGATACTAGCATTGCATGTGCATTTGCGTGCGCCACCGCTCAGCGTCGGATTCGTAGATACCTCCAAAGCGGCAATGGCAGCCGTCAGATCACTTATATTATTTGTAGTCAGCGATCCCTTGGACGATGAACCGGTCCCTGTACTGCTTCCACCAGCTCGAGAGGCAGACTTGGCCGCCTTCGACTTGACATTCGGCAAGAGATCCGAGATCACAGGGCCAGAGGCAGAAGGCGGGTTTTTAGCCGGTGTTGGTCTCGGGGCTGGCGATTGGTTTCGCGAAGAAGTGGCGGATGCTTCACGGGAAGAGATCAACGGTGATGGGGATAGACCGGTATCCAGTGTGCCTTCTTTCCTCGCGCTCCCATCTTGTCTCCGGCTGGACGAAACGGGCATGTAGTCCTCATCCTGGTCCTCCTTTCTGTATCCACCCGTCACGTTTCCAAAATTGTCTGGTCGACGAACAGGTCCGGCGCTGTGTAGTGGGGGCTTCGACTTCTTGCCCCTCTTCGACTGCGTTCCCGAATAATTGTTTCTAGTTGTGGAATCGCCGCTCGAAGCTGATGATGGTGCGTTAGATCGTGAGGGTGGTTCTCGTCGCGAGCTAAAAGCAGCAATGAATTCGAAAGCGGCGGGAGAGTCGCCCAGAAGGTTTTTGAGGTGTTCGGCGCCTTCTTCTTTGGAGAGGCTGGCGGCGTAGGTGATGATCTGCGTGAGCGACTCCTCGTCCAGCGGGAGAATTTGGCTCAGCCTGGGGACGGCCCAGGAGATGAGGCTGGTGTTGTTCATGTCGCGGCAATAGTCGGATTTATAGAATTGCTAGCGATTGAGCAGGTTGATGCTCATGGTGGAATGCGCGTCATAATTTGTGGATGATGGATCGAGCAAGCGGGCCAGACAATGACGGACGGAAGGTCCCGAAGTGGGCTCCAAGGCCAGTAATTTCAGGCCAACAACATTATATACTAGTCTTGCACCAACGGTCTCTCGAGATATCACAACACAATTTGGCGCTTCGCATCATAAGTCATAAATATCGCGTATTCATATCATTTCTGTATACATTTATGATCCAACCAAAACAACGTCCAAGCATTTGGATAGAGCAGCCCGAATCAGAATAGCAGTCGTCCAACACGCCATGGAGTCTACAAGGTTACACTTTGTACTCTGTTCTTTAAGCCACCTCTCATATATATGATCTAGTGGTAGCTCCGAATTATGGGCGATTATGCCATGAAGATCACCGAGATGGATAATGAACAACAGTAACAAAGGCACTGCACGGATACTTTCAACGCAGGTGCCCCACAACCTCGGTTTAGGATGATTGAACCAGTAGTCGTCTATGGTGGGAGCATACGATGAGATAAGACCTGGTTGGCGTTCAGAACTCCACTGTTCGACGTACAGTCGCCTTAAATCTGTATCCCAATCTTAAACCAATCGATTGATTGTAAAGCCCGAACTGACCTATTGCCAGAATATTGTACATACAACCGCATAAGAATCTATCATTCAAAACAGCACTCAACACCTATAATAAGAAACAGAAAGAAAAAGGCTGGAGACGATGCCGAGCATGTCCCACTATTCGACTCGAGAGAACTCAGGTAGGAGGTTCCCGTCGACGCCGTTGATGCCGGGTATTTACGTCAATATCGTTAAGCAAACGGAGACTATGTCCAAGGCCTTGTCCAATGCAAACAGGTCTGCAGTTTGCAAGAAGCAAGGTAAAATAATGTTGAAAAAGGTGTGTAGAAAGGTATAAGGTGTGAAAAGAAAAAGAAGAGAAAGAAAGAAGGAAGGAAGGAAGGAAGGAAGAAAAGACCGAAGGCTTAAGAGTTATCCCCGTTCGCTTCACTCTTGATGTCTCCATCACCAGAGCCGGCGGCGTCACTTGCCGCGGCCATGTCTGGCGTAAGACCGTTTTTCAGTTTGCTGGGCGGAGGTGGCTTCTTCCCTGACAGTTTTTTCGGGGCTCCTAGTTTCTTCTTCTTCGTCGGAAGAGTTGCTGGGACGTCGTCGTCCACTAATGGTCGCTTAGGTGGAGCAGAACTGGGAGTACTGGCACCATTCTCCATAGGGGTCTTGTTGCGGTTGGTCTGTCGCCCTGATAAACCCAGGCATCTGTCCAAGTGCTGTGCAACTCGAGTGACAACAAAGTATCTCGGGCAGTTCGGGCATTTCACAGTCGGGAAGGACACCTTCTCTGGAGCTGCTTGTTTAAAGGAACTGTCGGGCGTTGTGGGAGGACTTGAAGCTGGAGTATTGGACGTATTTGTCTGTTTCTTCTTCTTCGGGTTCAACTTGTCCGTGGCGAACGGGTTTCCATGAACATCGTGCCCCGGCTTGTTGATCATCGGCTGCTTCTGACAATACTCCCGATAGGGATCTGGTGGAGCCCGAGCCCCAACACCCGTTACCGGGTACAATAAACGAGGCAATCGGCACTCCGGGCAGATAATTTCTTTCGTGGTTTGGAGAGGGTTTCCCTTGAGGTAAACCTTGCCTTCATCAAAGACAGCTGCATCGGTTTCCACATGGATGTCCTTGAGTTCCTCAAGATCGAGATCACCGGGCTTAAATGCACCAGCTGGCTTCCCGCTCTCTTCACGACGTTTGGATGCCTCTTCATCGGCTTTCTGCCTTGCAGTGACCACCGCTGAGCGCATACGGGAGACCTTTTCGTCGCGATGCACCTTTGCAACTATATCATGAATTATATTATAGAAGGTATCGTTGAGGATATCGCATGTCTGGTGTTGTCAGGATCCATTGACGAAAGCCCAGAGACGCTACTGTCCCGCAGACGGAAGCATACGGGCATGAACGTACCAATTTTGCAAGTGTTCCTGAAGGGAAAGAACTCCCGTTTTCTTCTGTTCCGTTCGATTCGCCCATTTTGGCAATGTCCTGCAGGACTGGAAATTGTTAGAGCCGAAGTATCTTCGAAGACTGAGCGATTGAGGAAACAAGCGATCAGGAAATGCAGATGAGTAGGGTAGCCCAAGATATCGATTACGACGTGATAATGTACTCGATAGCAAGCAGTACCGATGAAATAACGCAATGGTTGCGCAGATACTGCAAAGTCCAAGACAACACTCAAGACATACCTCTGCTGGTGTATGCAAAGTAATTACGCGCCAATTAAAGCGGAACTTGCAGTCGATAGAAAAGCTCCTCCCACACAACGCTGAACGGTTATCCCCAGTATCAGATCGATGGCTCCATGTAGTTTTGCGCAGGGTGTTCGAAGGCAAATTTGGGTCGGGGTTTACCGGTCGCTCAACGGATGCGGATGGAGGGAACAATGGCGTAATAGACGACTACCCGACTGTGTTGGTCCGAACAAGGGAGCAATAAAGCAAGTGCCCAACTCCCACTGAAAAGGAATGTCTCAAAGAAATGGTACACAGGGACAATAACACGTAGAGTCCATCTGTCTGGTGGGGAGTGAATGGCGTCTATAACCCGGGGGCGGGAAACACCCACGGTAGGGAGAATCAGCGGACTGCGCGCACGGCCATTACCGTGAGGGGGAGCAACTTACCTTGGCTTCACATCCGATAGAGCAACATATATAGAAAGGGCACAGTAGACTGTGTGACGCAGCCAAAAAAACAAGTCCAAGACGGCAAGTGAAGGTGCAGCACCAGGGGCAATCCTGGATCGGAGGACGTGGAGAGAGGCTCTTTTGCGCTGGCCTTTGCCTCTTTGAACTTGTCCGACCGCCCGATCTTATCTTATCGCATCTCCGCGTTTCTCTCGCCGTTTTCGTCCACCGCTTCTGGATCTGTTGGGTTCCCCTCTTCGTCTGCTCGCGCTCTGCTTCTCCCCCGCTCTCTCCTCGACGTGTTTCTGGGTATTCTTTCTTTTTATGTGCCTTAGAATTTTATTCTGGGGAAGCAGACCACTCGTATAGTGCGGCTTACACGTCGCATTTACCCTTACATCCACCATGGCCTTCCAGTTCTTCGCCAGGGCGCATCAGTCCAAAGCGCCCACTTCTCCACCTTTGTCTCCCCCTCAGGCTCCAACTACGATAACCTCACCGTCTTCAAACAACTCTCACACCAGGCCACCTAAAGGTCCTCCTGCTATCGTCGTACCGCCCTCTTCTGGCTCATCCTCCGTGAGTCTGGCGTCCAAATTTCAGCCTCCAGCAGGCCGAGACTCGACCCTCCAAGCTGTTCCATACCCAAAGCCCATCGCATCAGGCCACCCCACTCCACACCCGCATGTTACTGTTGAAGTCGTGAGCACAGCTCACATCCCTTCCCTGACCAGAATTACGGGCTTGTTGCTTCCTATTCGCTATCCGAACTCTTTCTACACCGCCACCATCACTGACCCTGTGATCTCGTCCCTGTCCCGCGTGGCCGTCTACCATGATCATCCGGTAGCCGCCGCTCCCACCACTGCAGCGCCATCTCCCTCAACGGGCTTGAAGACCTCAACAACTGGATCAGACAAGGTCATTGGAGGCATCAGGTGCCGATTGGAGCGGTTGCCGCCTACTACGGCCGGAATCTTGCAAGGTCGGTCAAATTCCGAGCCGACAAACCTCTACATTCAAACCCTTCATCTACTGTCGCCCTATCGAGGTTGTGGGATTGCAGCATCGCTTCTTGACTCGCTACTCTACTCCCCAGGCTCCTTGCCATCTTCTACTTCATCCCAATCGCGACCTGATCAACAGGTCTCAGATTTGGTGAAGCATTACAACATTCGCACCGTCACAGCCCATGTCCACGAAGCCAACGAAGATGGTCTGAAGTGGTACGTCGCACGAGGGTTTAAAGTGGAAGATGGTGTAGTGGAAAACTACTACCGTCGCCTGAAGCCTTCTGGGGCAAAGATTGTCAAGCTTGTTCTCCAATGGACTGATGCGCCCAAAGAGGAAACCCTTCCCTGCAGCAAGGATCAAGACCAGCGCAAGGCGCCTGGGGGAGATGATGACGATGACTGGGAGAAGGTCGAAGCTGAAGATGGTGACGATGAAGACCATGGAGTAGAACCATTCGCCGATGCGGATTCTAAGCTTTTCGAAGCTGATGAGGGTGTGAGCAGGAAGCGTAAGGCAGACGATGACCCCCAGCGGCCATGATATTGCATGTCCTGCTTAGAAATATAGAAGCACTGCTCATTCGGTCTCCTGTTTGATTTGTCTATCTTTTGGCGTTCGGTTGTTTGCTCTTTGCCCCCCATCACTGATACCCTTATCATTGTCAAATGTTTATGCCATAGAACACCCCTGTCTATATCATATATAGTTCGGTTCTTTCCACTCGTGCTTGGGATGTATATAGTCATATACACCAGGATAATCATACTCCTATCACTATTTAGCAGTCGGTGCCGTAACCCACCATCTCATACTATAACAAACAACCCGTAAACCTACCCTCTCACAGTGAATACAACCCTCCTTCTAGAATAGTCCAAAATAGCGCATTAACCCAGGACCCCCAGACGCGTTTCCCGTCACGTCATCATTGGCCAACTCTTAGAGGTGGGTTTTCGCGATCCTTTGACATCTCTCCCGGCTGGCGGTTCTTATTGGCCTCTGAAATCATATCAGATTGATCGCATGTGGAGTGCCATGTGGATGTATTCAAAACGTAAGACATTCACTTAGAGGTTTATTTACACTTACGTTAGTCTGGTCATAATCAGTATTATCCATCATTTTAGTAGCGCAATGCTACCAAACATGACCGGACTGGCGTTGTTGTGATGGCGTTCTGGTTCGATGTAACTGAAATATGACCATTTATGGGAAAATAAGACGCGAAGAGCCTGTTTACAATGAGAAGTCGTAAGTCCTCATGTACTAACTATTTAGCAATCTATCTAAAGTAGGGACTGCATGCGTCAGCGGCCATAGTGCTTGGTGTGCGTGCATTGGGTAGGGAAGCTGGCATGCCCCCTTAAATACACAGTTAGCGTACTAAATTTGGGAATACATCTATTGCCTGGGGTGTCAGTCAAATCGCCTGAGCTGTGACATAGAGGGTATCTAGTGATTCTCTAGTCAAGTGCTTGGTAGGCGAGGATGATTCTCTGTTACTTATTGCGCTGGAGCTTTATGTACTAGATAGCGTCCCCTGTTCGAAATAGTTTCTTGGATAGTAAAGAACAAAGAATAGGGGTATCCAAAGCACCTCAAGTTGAGATAGCTAACCTTCAGTTCAAGATCGTGTCATCTGACGAGGATTTTACATTTGTCAAGTTGATCAGACATATTGAAGTAGATGTGATGTGCAGTAAGACAATATCACTCACCGCCCCGATATATGCGCAGAATTCTGCCGCAGAAAAATGGGAAGTCTGTCAACCATTTTCTCCTCATCCAGACTGACAGTTTCATAAAGCCATTTACCTCTTCATTGACTATCTTCGCACCTTGTCGGTCCTGGGAAGACTACTTCGGCTTCAGTACTAACTCAAGATGGCCTCCACAACGCCATCCGCCCCCCCTTCTCTCACCCTCCCTCCCTCGCAATTCGCCCGACTCCAACCTCACGCCTATCTCCTCGCCCACCTTTCACCACCCGCATCCAGCAACCAGCCCTCTATCCGAGCCAATGGCCGCGCTCCCTCCCAATTTCGCGTCACATCTGCGAACACAGGCTCTTTAACTCACACAAATGGCAGCGCCGTCGTAAGGGTTGGCGGCACAACCGCAGTATGCGGCGTACGAGCGGAAATCCTCCCCACTGCCGACATTGCCTCGTGGAGCGTGTCTCAATCCTCATCATCTACGAACAAGCGTCGGAAACTCGCCGGTCAAACCGAGCAGTCTAATGAGGATGATGCAGAAGTGGAAGACCCCGAAGACGAAACGCACATTCAACAACTCAACCTTCTCGTTCCGAATCTTTCGCTGAGCACTGGCTGCGCACCGGGATTCGTTCCTGGCGCACCACCCTCAGCACTGGCGCAGTCGCTGTCTCATAAGATCTTGAACTTGCTGCATAGTACAAAGTTGGTCCGGGCCGAGGATCTGCGCATTTGGTACCAGCCGCCTAGTCTTGGGCTGGAGGACCTAGAACGCCATAACGAGTCTGAGCAGATGGATGTGGATGTAGAGCGCGGGGAGGAAGTCGGCAAGGAAAAGGAGATTAAGGCATTCTGGGTGCTCTACATTGATATTATGATCATTTCTTTGGCAGGAAACCCATTCGATGCTGCCTGGGCTTCGGTTTTGGCTGCACTGCGCGATACGAAGCTGCCCCGGGCATGGTGGGATGTCGATAACGAAATGGTTGTGTGCTCGGATGCGGTTTCTGAGTCTCAGAAGCTGTCTTTGCGCGGTCTGCCTGTCGCGAGCTCGTTTTGTGTTTTCGAGGCCGATGCGGCTGCTGGCTGGAGGGCGGTTATCATCCCGGACGCTGAAGAGGAAAAGAATATTGAAGAGAGTGCTCGGAGGGGAATTCAGCGGAGGTGGATCCTGGCTGATCCTGATGGATATGAGGAAGGACTCAGTCAAGAACGGGTCTGTATTGTGGTTGATAAGGAGCAAGGTGGGAAGGGCAAGACGGTTATCCAGAATATGGAAAAGAATGGAGGATGGGCTGTGGATGGGAAAGAGCTGAAAGCGCTGGTTGACATATCCGCGCAGAGGTGGGAGCAATTGAAGCACATCCTTGAGCAGTGTTGATTGTTTAGAAAGCGACTAATACTACATGCAATGATACCATGATGTCAATCATGATCCAAATATAGTCCAGCGTAGAATGAACTTCGTAGATATGCTAATAAACAGAGGAAGACTTGTGTCTAAGGACTTTGCAATTCTTCAGGCGAACAGTCCAGGAATCAAATACAACATTGACAGTGCGAGGCGCTGGGCAATTGGAGCAGTCCGAAATTCCCCCATCATTCATGAGAACATCGGATGCCAAGACTGGATCTCGACCTTCCGCCGCGCCAGAAAGCTCAACCGCAACTCTTCACTGCGTATTCTTAACAAGTACCAGTAACAACCTGACACCTGTGTGCTAGATTCAAAATGGCGACTGACGTGGCTTTCGACACGAGCATGGTATGGATAACCAGAACGGTTGCGTCAGCATAGCCCGCTAACCTGCCCAGGGCTCGTTCACAGTAGAGCTCTACAATGCGCATGCGCCCAAGGTCAGTACCAAGATTCTAAGCTCATCCCATCCTTGTTGTTATGCAATTTACTAACGTCTTTTGTACCAATTAGACGTGTAAGAACTTCGCGACGCTTGCGCAACGAGGCTACTACAACAATGTCATCTTCCACCGCATTATCCCCAACTTCATGGTACAAACTGGCGATCCTACCGGCACTGGCAGAGGAGGAAGCTCTATCTACGGCGAGAAATTCGAGGACGAGATTAATCCCAACCTCAAGCATACCGGTGCTGGAATTCTGAGCATGGCAAACAGCGGGCCCAACACCAACGGCAGTCAGTTTTTCATTACGCTTGCCCCAACACCATGGCTGGATGGAAAGCACACTATATTTGGTCGCGTCAAGAGTGGCATGAGGGTGATCCAGCGCATGGGACTGGTTAAGACAAATTCGGAAGACCGGCCTGTGGACGAGGTGAAAATTCTCCGTGCCAGAATCGTGGAGGAGACGGGAGACGAGTGAGGGGTCTTATAGCAGATGGTTATGGGTATTCATCCACAAGGGCTACACAGCATCCTAGCAACGGCGGTCGTCAACCATGAATGATACGGGCTGTTGGCATCGATGGCAGACAGGCAGACGTTGGACCGAAACCTCAGCACTGCACTCCAGGAGAGCAATGCAGAGCACGAGCAGTTGCGCGTTCATGATAGCAGAGCCACGTCCGTCGGAACGTTACAACCGCCTTTGGTTGACGTCTGCAACGCAAGAGCACAGCTTCATATAGAAACAGACTACAGATTAGAATAGGAATGTTTCACTACAAAACGAACCGCTTCCATCAGATGTTACCATCCGGAGCAGCAGATACAGAGTGAATTGTCTATCTACCACTCCTATAGTACAAGACCAGTGAAGGCTTGTACGAAGACGACGAAACTGCTACAAACAAGCAGTTTGCCTGTGCAGAGCACTAGGAGTGGTGTGAAGAAGGAAAGAAGCTCTGATTGTGGGCGAAATCCTCCTTAAGCGGCTCCCGTTAGTCGAGTCTAGCTTCTTTCGGAATAGTCATATGTAGTGTGGCCTCAGGCAACGATATATTCAACAGCAGAATAGCTTTGATGAGCTGCAATGGCATGATTACGCTGTCAACATCAAGTGAGCAAAAGTGTATAGCTCTCCCAGATACTGTAATTAGTATCGTATTCCTTTGTCTGAGGGGAGAAGGCCTAACGCCCATACTAAAGCCAACTGCGTTGATATCAGCAGCCACCGGGTTCGGATCAACACTGGTAACTCCTTCATGCCGCTGAAGAAAAGGGGATTGCGCTATATAGAACCATATGGGAGTAAGTCTACACTTATCTAGCATGTAAGTCTTCAATGTCTGTTGGTTCCTCACCTAAGACCTTCTTCTATAACGGTTTAGCTAAGTACTTAGTCACGTGGTGGGCCAGTGCGGGTCCCATATTTCTTCGCGTGTCCCTCGATTTTCTTTTCGTTTCTGAAATTCTTTCTCGTCTTCAGCGCATGATCTTCAGTCCACACCTATGGGCTGAAGAGTCTTGCTACAAACGTCGCTAGGAGCTTGTGACCAAATGTGATGCTCGCTGAGCTTGCTCATCAGACATCGATATAGCACTAAGCCCCTCCATTTAGCTTGCTTGCAGTTCGGCCGTCATCACAATGGAATCCCTAGCGGATACGCCATGGGACGTGACGATCTCTGGCACTGGACTGGCCCAGTCACTTCTAGCTCTGTGAGCTACCTTCAGTCAATGCTGTATTTGCTTACAGCTAACGTCTCTTGCCAGGGCCCTTTCCAGGTCAGGTAAGAACGTTCTCCATGTTGACAGAAATCCATACTACGGTGGTCCTGAGGCAGCTTTTAGCCTGCAGGAAGCCGAGGAGTGGGCTGCTAAAGTGAACGAGGGTAGGAGCTCCCCAGTCTAAGCGACCCCATAGCCCCTGCTGACTCGTGTGGGTGAGCTAGACACCGGGGAGCTCCCATTCGAACATGCTAGCGTCTACTCCGAAAGCTCCGGGGATTCCACTGGTCAGCTTGCGTCCTCTCGAGCATATACCCTCTCCTTGTCGCCGCAATTGATCTACTCCCGATCACAACTCTTGCCTACCTTGGTTTCCTCCAAGGTCTACCGGCAATTGGAGTTCCAGGCTGTGGGCAGCTGGTGGATTTACAATCCTGAGACTGACGATAGTAGTCATCTCTATCGTGTCCCAGGCAGTCGGGAGGATGTCTTTGCGGATGATGTGATCAGTATGAAGTCGAAGAGGACTCTGATGAGGTTTCTCCGTCATCTTGGTCAGGCTCAGGAGAGTGGAAATGTGTCGGAAGGACCGGATCCGTCCCCGGAAGAGGAGGGTCTTGCTGTACCCTTCTCTGAGTATCTGGCCACGAAGTTTCAGGTGCCCACTGAGCTTCATGGTCCCTTGCTCTCACTTTGCCTATCACAGGCTGCTCCTCAACAGACATCGGCCCAGTATGCCCTCCCACGCATCAAGAGACATTTGTCATCTATTGGTGTGTTTGGTCCTGGCTTTGGGGCTCTCTCGGTCAAATGGGGCGGCGGCTCTGAGATCTCTCAGGTAGGCTGTCGCGCCCTTGCCGTAGGGGGTGGTGTATATGTCCTCAACACTGGCGTCAAGTCAGTCGGATCTTCAATAGAACAGGATTCCGATGACCAGTCGCGCATACAGATTCAACTGACTAATGATGAATCGGTCAAGTCCCGGTACATCGTTGGCTCGAATTGGGATCTTCCCGCTGCAACTCGCCCTTCTCTGGAGTGTGACAAAGTGGCACGTTCCATCTCCATCGTTTCATCTTCCCTTGCGAACCTCTTCCCCGTTACTGCAGAGGGTGGACCAGTCCCTGTTGGAGCGGTAGTGGTATTCCCGGGAAGCTCTGTTGGCGGTGCTGATGGTGCACCTCCGGTGTACACTATAGTCCACTCCAGCGAAACGGGCGAGTGTCCTACTGGACAATGTAAGTCATTACTTTTCCTTGTGCATCCCCTCCTCCCCTTGCTCATATGATGACTTTTCATCAAAAACTTATCTACATTGCCTGATACATCATTGATGAAAACTTCTACGAACTGATCATGAGCTTTCCTTTTTTTTTCAAATCATGCAAGTTGCATTGTCCTGTGACATGTTGCTAACTTTTATCAGGCGTGGTGTATAGTAGTGTCAGCATACCCGGTTCAGAAGGACAGTCGATGATTGAAGCTGCTCTGCAAAAACTTTTCCAGTCGGCTGCCGATCCGAATACGAAAGTCCTGTGGTCCCTGCGTTATACGCAGCTGGGCCAAGGCGCCTCCCACAACGCTGATCTAAGCTGTCCGTCGAAGAACGTCATATGCCTCCCGCCTGTCAGCCTCGACCTTGCTTTTGATGACACCTTGATCGATACGGTCAAGAAAGCTTGGGAGCTGATCATGGGGGAGGAGGCTGCTCAGCACGAATTTATGAAGTTCGAGGATCGAGAGGGCGCCTATGAGGAATGATGTGGGTTGTAGAGCAACTCGCATGTAAATATGCTGTAGTAATGATTTAGATAAGACTTTCACAATGATAACCGATTACCAAGGCCACGATCCTGTCATGTATTCGCTTTCAGTAACCTTGAAGCATTGCTGTGTCCATTGACTATCCATGTGATCATGCACTCCTCTTTCTGCGACACCCTGCCATGTGTAACTTCCTACATTTGCATACATACAGGGCGTGTCTACACAAGCGCACCGTTGGGTTTCAACCTCTGTCGTACAGCCTACCACCCTTCATACCCTCCGAGCCAATGCAACGCAAACTGGCCCGGAGAGCTCAGCACTCTAAGTGTTTCTTCCCGCTTCGAATTCAAATTACTCGCTATTACTGAGACGGTCTTTTTCGCGGTTCGCTTTCTCCGGTCATCCGCATGTCACGCTTAAAAGTATCAAATACATGCAAGGGCCACACATACTTTCCCTAGCACCGGATGGCTGGAAACCCTATGAATTGCATGCGAGTAAATTGAGACGTTAACTAATGGAATTATTATTCTTACCTGAGACGAGGTTCTCCAAATCCAACCTAGTAGAATGACTACCAGTAGATGTAAGACGTGCCATAGATGGCTAGACTAGGCTACATCCTCAGCCTCGCCGGCATGCCTGTCTATCAGCCAGTATTTCTCCGCTAAACCTTCCACTTCATCATCAGCAGTATGATTAATCTCGTTACTCTTCTACTTCCCTTCCTCGTTAATACTGTCAACTGGCCTATAATCATTGGCCCACGCTTTGTTTAGGCAGTAGTTCTCTTCAATAAGTCATGACTATATAGCGGAATTCCTTATCGTTCAGGACTGCACATCATAAGCCACGCAGCTGCTTGGGACTCCGACTACAAAAAGATCATCATGTCGCTCGGTGCTGGGGTCGGTGATATTCTGGCCTGCGCAAGTCTTGCTTATAAGATTTACCAGGAGCTGTCTGAAATGAACGGTGTCTCTGAAGAATATCAAGCTCTGACATCGAAGCTTCTTATTGTCCACAAACTCCTACTTCAAGTGGAAAAGCTCAGAGCGTCTAATCAGCTCGCTCAGTCAACCTTGAATGCCATTCGCTTCTTGACGAGCCGGATGGGTGAGGCAATTGGCGAGTTTTCAACCAAATTAGAAAAAGATAGTCGAGCATCTCAAGCTGGAGAATATGGAATAGCTTTGAAGAATATCTTCTCAAAGGGTAAATCATCTTTGGCAATGACATATGAGGTTAGTTTATCTGGTATATGCTGTTGACTTCCACTAAGAATATCTAATATGACATAGGCTCCGAGGCTATCTAGCATCCTCCATTCTAACTTGTTGTCTCTGAGTAGCCTTTTGCGAATGGCTTGCTATTCCATGTAGGTTGTGTCTATGGTCGAGAGGCGAATTACTCATACTTCTCCCAGCTCTGACGATAAATCTCGGTATAATGCAAGTTATACTCCGAGATGGATCGATGAAAGGTCTGGATTTCCGAATGTCAGACTAAGCGCAATTATCACAAGAAGGGAGACATGTTGTGCAAGACCTAGTTAGTACTGGTACAGACTGCGATGTATACCAGCTAATATACTTCCCAGATTTTGAAAAAGTGCCTAGTCCTACTACCTTCTTCAGACCTGGGCGGGTATTTACGGTAGCCATACGAGGTATATTAACAGCCACGGGAGATGAAGACATTGACTACACACATCTCCCCTTGGAATGGACCCCATTAGACTCCATTCTAGACCCGTCTGGACGTGAGAAGGAACGAATTTTCCGACAGAAGAGGAATTACGAGGCGGTTATAAAGCTTCCCTTAGCAGCAATGTTCCAATATGGCGACGTGCAGAAGAATGGACAAGTTCAATGTCATCTGTGCCCAAGCGACGTTCAATTTCCAAAGGACTTTTGGGTTGATAGACACTTCAGGATGTATCACCACGAGACGTTTAGAAGACTGGACGATGTATCAAGTCTTGACGAAAGAAGTGACTATATTTGTCCAAATGAGATAAGCACCAGTCGTCCTATTCTGTCTGAGCCAGAAGTTGAAGAATTGACCGCCAACGAATATAACCTTCCCACCTGGGGTATGGATGCCTGGGTAGGAGCCATTACCCTGCGCCGTTTCGTGGTCGTCCAGCAGGGTACTAAATCCTGCCTCTGTCTGGGTATACATACGTGAGATCCCCTCGTCTTTAGAGGCTCTGGTAATTCCATACCGTTGTTGACGAACATCGATTCACAGTTACTCTGGAAGAGGGTGTTCCGATCAACCTGATCAGGAGCTGTTTGCCATACTCCACTCGTTGAAGTACGTCCCCGATCCATTGCCAGAAGAAACGAGAATGGGCATCCAGCCTTTACGCCTAAAGCCTGAGCATCCATCAACTGTATTACCCAGCACCGCCCGTATTCACTTCGGCCGCGTCTATGAGATCAAGCACGATGTGGAGCTGAAGAACATTGGCCTGATCCATAGCTCATCCATGAATATACTCTCGTCACAATTCGAATCTCATTGTCCGATAGATACTCCGAATGGTCTAGGAGCTTCACAGGACAAGGATCAAGCAGGTACATCCGCAGATGACACAGTCCACAGGCCGGTGTCAGGATTTAGAAATGAGCTGTGAGCGCATTGGATCGGTCTGTTATAACGTTTAGGTCCTTTAGGTATGTTATTCAGATGCCATCTAAAAGTCAACACGGCATGACACATGATTATGCCAATGGTCTCTTCACAACTAGATTGCCGTGCCAGGCCTGTAAATGCCTATCTCGCGGTGGACGGGAACTATCCCATGTTATCATTCGCCATAAGGGGAAAATTAGCTGTTGACGAAGAAAACAGCAATCACCAGGTTATTCTAATAGTTTCAATTATGAGGTCTGGAGACTTTTAGTATCGCCTGACACTGTCAGGAGTTTCCCCGCAGTAGATTCTTGTACTGTGGATATAGAAATATATGATGGTAGCTAAGTAGTATGTCCTGATAGAGCGCTATACTATGTTAGTACTGGCCCCTCTTTCTTAGACCATTGTATCCCCTCACTCGGAAACATGCTCGACTAAGTCTTAGTATATGGTGACATTAAAGAGACAAATTACATCACTCAGAACTTGTGAACGATTACGTATCTCTCTTTTCTGGATGGAATATACCTCAACCTACTATGAAATCAGATATAATATAGAGCATGTGAAGATATGTATAATGAATGGAATATATACCCTCCAAGTACTTAATAACAACATCAGTAGTATCATCTTAAGTTTAATTTACACTACCAAATAAGCGACAGCCTGATTCAACTATCTACCTGCCATGTCTGGCAATACATCGCTAACTCAACGTCCACATCCACAACATAATCATCTGATCTGCCCCGATCTACATTAGGAATTATACATCCTACATTCAACATACTACAAAGTACTACAATGAAAACAATCTACATCCTACAAGACCCGTAGATCAATCAATATCATACATCTTCTACACTCTGTCTCAGATCACTCCCACAGTAATTATCCACCCCCCAAAGCTTATATAACACAACAACAGACCAAGCCAAGTAATCCAACACACTCAGATCTACACTACGAAAATGGGAACTAATAAATCAGTCTGAGACATTTAACCAACTTATCATGCACTTATCTACCTGTTTCGAGACAATGATAAATTACCCACAATTCATTTCTGGAAATCTTGAATCTGAAACGCTCTATCGGCGGGCTAAGATCCTATAGTCCACGGGTAGATTAACCAGATACGAAGTAGGCTAATCTGTGCTCACTTTAATATCGCTTAATTTCCGGGTTCTACTGTTTCTATATCTGCAGGTTAAATTGGCGGTTGGGTGATGAGCAGAGGTCTCAAAAAGAATTTTTTTCACCTCTTCGTTATGCTTATGCAGGGGACGTTGGAAGGGACTATCTGTCTGTTTTTCTTTTCTGTCTGGTTTGAACAGTCCAATGTTGAACGTTGAGACGCGTGTATATTAATTTATTCATGAACACTATAATGTATACTCATTATGGCGGAATATGGCATCATTACTTATTATCTCTGATAATAATTCTACCATGGTTCTGGCCAGAGTGGTCTTCTTCCTCCCCAAGCTATTTTCTTGTTCACTTTCGGGCTTTGATTACTACTTTAGTGGCCGATTGCATGCTCGCGGCAATTGGCCTATCAGGATAACGGGTTGTCCGTTGGTGGTGGTACATTGTGGACTTGCAGCGAAAACTATTGTCGACTAACCAAGTGTCTGTATGGGTAGTGTGAAAACGCTGGCAAATTGCCCAGGTGGTTTTTTTCGAATTAAGTCGGTCTGTTCCATAACGGACTAAGGTTTTTTTCTTCTAGGTTTCGCTGAAGACGCAGAAGGCATAGCGTGACTCCATCGAAGGAACTTGCTGGATGCCGTTCCGTACTCTACCTCATTCAGGTGGCTTGGGAAGAACCGGGCGTCGGAAAAGAGCGACATGGACCCTGAGCGGAGGACCCTCTTCTTTTCCAATTGATGTCATTGTTCGTTTCCCTCTGGCTAGGGATCCATAACTACGGAGTGCTATCGTCCTGTTGCGGTAAGAGAAGGACGGCAGTCGAACCTGAAAGGGTGCACATCCTTCCCTAAACAGCGACGGAGGCCCATATTGGTGTGCTTGGCAACTCGGTTCTGGGTGAACAACACTGGACCGAATGGCGATGGCTGGATGAAGATCAGGGGGTTGAGGGAGTGCTTGCATTGGAGTTTAGACCGCCCATCGGGGATGCAATTACGATTCGGACTGGGCAGTGAAAGACTGACGAATGGTTTGCAGTCAATCATTTAGGGATCCTGGGGAGAGCTGAACTCAATGCAACTGGACAGCTGGATGTATCATGCATCTCATGCACAGAGGTTGTTGACAGAGTGTCAGGGTCCATCAAATGGGTGTGTAGGTGACAGCTGCCAAGGCTGGCGTTCAAGCTTAATTGTCCGGCAATGTTTTTTTTTAGCGAAGTTGGTCATGCTTGCGAAACGACCACAATGTCGATCCCTCTCTCCTTCCTTTCCCTGCCGTGCGCACGGCGGGAAGAAACGTTTGTGTGAAGTAAATTGTATTTACGGAGTAGATTGGCTACTCAGGTGTTCGCGATGGCGCCAGCTCGGTCAATCCAAGATGAGGGGGCGCGGCGACACGATTGCTGATGGATGTCTGCGATTGGGTCGGATGATGTCGCAAACATTTTACTTTCCTACGCCCACTTGCAGTTTGACTGGGATTTACCCCTCCACGGGTACGCAGCTTGAACAATCCATCAATAACAAGCTGCCGAGTGACGAGGGGAGAAAGTATCAGGTACGACGTACGCGCGTCCGGACGGGCTGTTCAAGGCGGACGTAACTTATGGGATTGCAAAATTTCCACTCAAACGTGGGTGGTTGGACCAGCTGACGGGCAGAACAGAACCACTTTCAACCAGAGGAACCACCAGGTACAGGCCGAGAGTTCTGGAGGCAATCTGCCCAGCCCATGTCCACTCATGAGGCTCAACCACACGGCCACACTTTGCCACTCTCCATAACTCGTGGAGCAGTTATTCAGTTGGTGGTGGCACTATACATAGAACACAAAAACTGAAAGAGCATGTTGGTCTCAAGAGTTGGATGGGATTCGTCTGCTGATTCCCCAGTACGTGGCAATGGAAAGGCAGCTGAAAAACAAGACCAACAGGATCACGGAAGACTCCGCTGTCCGGATCTGAGGGTTTCTATCCGACACTAAGTAGATGCGTCGAGGTAAACCCTGCCGACCGGTGGATGGGTTAAGGCAAGCCCAGCCCAGCAGTCGAGTGGTCTACTGTTAGTCTATCGGCCTAGTGCTAAAGAGTGAATGTACCTTGTTGGTCAGTCCTTCCACTACGTACCAGTCTAAATGGTCCGCACGATTTGTGACCATGACGAGCCTAGTTTCACATCCGAGGACACCACTGGACTGAATCAGGGTATGAGCTGATACTATACCCGATACACAGTGACTACGGGGGAGGAGAAGGAGGGAGAGCGAGAGTCAAGAATAGGAGAACGGATGGTTGGATGGAGAAGGGGGAGGGAAGGACACGCGGCCCGTGGGGCCACCGGCCCAGCGAGCCCCTAAAGGGTCTTTCCTCACTGGCTGAAACGGCGGGCAACCGCGCAGATCGAAGTTTCCATCTTTTTTAGCTGCACCAACCAGCCGGTTGGTTACTCAGTAAGGCGTTCTGACATCCGACAGGGTATTACACCCTGTTTGTGAAGTCTGAATTAATGAATGGATGGATTAATGTCTCAGGCGCCGGACATGGATATGAATGCGCAAGCGGATCTGGAAGTGTGAAGGTAGGTGTGGACGCTTTCGCTGTCTGCGTTAATACTTTGTACTATCAGTGTGTCCGGAAACAAGAAAGAGCGGGATGATAAGAATAGCAGTCCGCCCGAGGTGGACGGTCCACCCGCTGGAACATTCCGAGAATGTATGGAGGATTGATGCTGGAGTCCAGAAGCAGCCAGAGACCAGCTGTCATTTCACCCTTACCATCATAGACAGCATAAACAGAACCAAAAAGAACAAAGACATACTGTGTCTTGTATTACCAGTAGTATTCAGTTTGAGATAGACGAGCAACGGTGATCAGCTCTTGAACATTCCATCACGAAGGCTACCAGGTCTCTCTAGTAACCAACATAGTAGAAGTCGACGCAAGCTTCGAAGCATAACATCTACATCTACCAAGAGGAAGTAAAAAGGCAGAAAAGCCGGAGAATAATGAGCCTGAATAGTATTCCCGGCGATGTTCTATTTCTGTAGGCCATGCTGATTTCTCCGGGAGGCGCTTGATTGATCAGTTGACTCTGCTGTAGGCAGTTCTGCGCATCCATGTGGTATTGGGAAGATCTAGACGGAGATACGCATCCACGCATGTACATCGATGGGAAGGAGGGGGAAGACAAAGCCTGGGGAAATGCATTGACTTCTTGAGATCTGTCAACTGATATGATTCGATGTATCGGGACATTCCCAGGATCTACTATTGTCACAGAATGATATCCTGAGACGTGGAGGCATCATGCTATGCCATTGACGATGGATTGTTTCGTGGAGGTCAAGACGGAGACGACGACGACGACTGTCAACGCGTCGAGGAATGAACGGCCGCCGTTTCCGTATCACAAGTTCGCAAGGGTCCGAAATCCGAGATTGAAAATTACCCGCCACCGGCCGGGTGGAGCAGTGAAGATCCGCCCATCGACATTCTTCCTTCAGTCAGGGATCGGCATCAAAAAATAGGTGGGTGGAGGGCAGTGCCGTATTCAGGAAATTCACACAAATCTCGTCAAGAGGCAGGAACAAAGTCTGATTCTCGAAAAGCGAAGAAAGAGACCGTAAGAGATGGCAAGAAAGGTGTGGGTAAACAAAGCAGGATACTGTATAGCAAAGAAAGAACAGAAAAGAGGGAATACAAAAGACTGAAATGGAAAGGGACAGTAAGTAACTTGGCATACAGCGGGAGGCGTCAACAGGCCGAGCATAAAAACACTAAGCATCATCGTGGTGTAAATTCTGTAAATTCCTCGTTGGGAAGTTGAAGACAGCGAGTAAATAATATTATTATTTTATTTTTTTTATTTCAAGATAAAAATAATCATCTGTCGCCCTCCTCAATCCAGGCCAGCTGGTGTTTTTTTCACACCTCATCTGATGCTCTCTCTTTTACCTTCCTCTCGTTCTCTCTGCCGTGCAACACTTGGCTGCTGCTTGTCTTAGAAAAAAGGAAGCAAGATAACTTCTCTGCAACTTGAAGAGACCCCTTCCGTCGTTTAATCTGCCCAGCAAGAACCAACAGCAAGAGTTAGCCAGGCCAGAGACGGGCTGAGCTTAATATTTGCAGATTAAATTACCCAGTGGAGGAGCTTTGGCCCCAGCCCAACCCGTGGTCCAGCATTCGGCATTCCCACTTGGGATCGCTCCCAGTCGCCTGTCTCTCCTGTCTTCCGCCCTCATCTTCTTCTCTACTTCTCGAACTCTTCTCCCCCCTCCGTATCCTTCTTCCCCTTTTCCCTTTCCTCTCGCGACATCCTCAACCCCTCGACACTCAGCGCTCGCCTCCCTCCTCTTGTTCTCTCTTCCTTGAGCACTCGACGCACCGTCTTGTTGCGATTTCGTCGGCCTGTTCTCTTTGGGGGATTTTCTCTTCTCGCTACTTGTTTCCTGCGGCTTTCTGCCCCCCCATAATTTCTTCCGGGGCTTCTCACCCCTTTCCGTGACCGTGTCGCAGGTCTCGACGCTGCCAGCCTTTCGTTGACAGTCTACCAGGCAATAGAAAATTCTTTCCTGCTCAGGATCAGTTTTCTATCGGCCAATTCCACTCTTTACACCATATTTCCCATACGTGACGATTTGCGAGAACGGTTCCAGTGACGACAACCCTTTCTTTCCGGTTGACGTGCTTTTGAGACGAGAGAAAAAACTAAATTTAATACATCTCGTCACCGACTTCTTCAATTCACATGTTCAAGAATACTCATAATAATACCGCCAAAATGCCGATGTTCCGTATGAAAACGGTTTTCCCTCTGATCGCTCTCTTCTCGATTGGATTCTTCTTCTGGTGCGTTGAGCGCTTCGACCAGGCTGCTCTCCTGCGTTTCAAGCATCCAGCCGATCGCGTCGCTGGCTCAACCCCGCAAATCCAGTTGCAACCGACACCCCCATCCAAAGCCTGCGATGTGGACCCTGGTCTCCAGGCTCCTCTGCCCTTCAGCGAATGGCTTCCTCGCAAGAACTACACCCGTGCCTACTTCCGTCCTCACCATGTGAGCCCCAAGACCGAGTTCAACTCGCTTGAGGATATCGAAGTCCCGGTCCTCCCTCCGATGACCGTCATGGAGCGTGGTATGGTCGTGTCGCCCGAGAACGAGGAACCCATGCCTTGCCCTCCGATCATCGACGTCAACGTCGCTGCTGATAACGATGTGGATGAGACCGACAAGCTCCTGTTTGGGCTGGCCACCACTGCTGACCGTCTGGACCGTTTGCTTCCTTCTCTGCTGTACTCCTACGGAAACACCAAGGCCGGCTTGATTGTGCTTGTTCCGGAATCGGACGACGACATTCCCAAGCAGGAGGCCTACTTCCGCAACCGTGGCTTGGATTTGACCCTGATCCAGTCTCCTTTGGACTTCACCGCTCGTTACTTCGGTCTGGTTCAGGCTTTCGCAGAGACCATCCGGACCAAGCGCCCTCAGACTCAGTGGGTCAGCTTCATTGATGATGACACTTTCTTCCTGTCCCTGCCGACCATCGCTGAGGAATTGAAGCTCTTCGATGTGAGCAAGAAGCATTACATTGGTGCCTTGTCTGAGGCTAGCTGGCAGGTGGATACTTTCGGCCACATCGCTTTCGGTGGTGCTGGTGTTTTCGTCTCCAAGCCCCTTCTCGATGTTCTGGAGGAATACTACGATGAGTGCCAGTCTTGGGGTGAGCAGCCCGGTGACCAGAAGCTCGGCCAGTGCATCCAGAGATACGGAGAGACCCCTCTTACCCTCTGGCCCTCGCTGTACCAGATGGACATGAAGGGTGAGGTTGACGGTGTCTACGAGTCTGGCCGCAAGATTGAATCCCTGCACCACTGGAACAGCTGGTACACCAAGGATGTTGTTAAGATGACCACTGTGGCTGCCGCTGCGGGTCGCCGCTCCGTTCTGCGCCGCTGGGTCTTTGACCAGGAGGAGATCGTCAACAACGCTACTGGTCGCTCCACCCGCACTTTCTGGGTGTTCACCAACGGATACTCGCTCGTCAAGTACACCTACGATGAGAACACCCCCGATGATGCGATCAACTTTGACCACACTGAGAAGACCTGGGAGGAGGATCCCCGTGGTTACGAGGCCCGCCTGGGACCCCTCCGCAACCGGGATCAGGATGGAGTCACCAAGGATCGTTGGTTGTTGCGGGATGCCTTCGTTGTTGGCGACAATGTGCACCAGTGGTATGTGCGTGAAGAAGACGAAGGCCACAGCGTGATCGAGATCGTTTGGCTCGGCCCCAAGGGTGGTGGCGGTGCCGGCGTCCGGGACTTTGGAGTCCGCAGGCAACATCACTAAAGTCCTTGGTCATGCAACTCAATGAGAGACCAGACGACCGATACTGAGGCTGGCCCTTGGGATCTGTGAAGCTTTTCGATTCTTGCACATTCTTCATTCCGTTCCTTTACACTTTTCCAATTCTTTTTCTTTTCTTCCTTTTACTTTTAACTTGATCTTACTCTATATCTTCCTGCGACACCACAACACTAAAGAAACAATCATGCCAATCTACACGGCGACAAGGAAAACAAGAAAAGTGAAGGTGGTGCGGGAATGTATCTCTTTCGGTCACCGAGTCCTTCGGCCTCCCTGTTTTTGATCGATCATTTGCCTGGCGTTGTATTGGCGGAGTCAAGAATGGCGCAGTCCAAGATCGGAACTGGTGGTTTTCAGCGAAGAGCATACCTCGTTTGAGTCTCCCTTGATTGACCTGGCTACGGCCTCGTGGGAGGGAATGATAATCATCCTCGCCCGGGGCCCATTGCTCACGACCCGACGTATCCCATTCCCTTATTTCTCCCGATTTTCTTTTTGCTGGCTTCCTGTCGAGGGCTGCTTTCTTGCATCAATTTTTTGTAAAAATAGAATTTTGCCGGCCGAGCCGCGGTCGCTTGCTTGCTTTTGGAGATTAGCGCATTCGTCGTTATGGCAGAATATCACGAGTTAAAGTCTTAGATTAGAAGATTATCTGTTAGCAATAGACACGCACGCACACAGTGGTTGGCGCTGCGAAATAATATGACTGGAATAACTGGAGAATTGTGTTCGTAATGGGTGGTCCGATTGATTGCGTAGGCCAGTCTGATGCTTGTTTCATGTAGAGTCAGTCACTCACCAGCCGAGCAGGCAGTCAGTCATTAATGTATGATTGCCAAGGACACTCTAGTCGTAGTAGTCATAATAATAAAATACTCTTTGACAAAAGTAGTACACATCGCCCAATTAACCTACAATATATACGTAGAGACGAAGAGAGCGGGGAGGAAATAAAAGTACCAACAACCAACCCACTAGACAAACAAACAAACAAACTACATCCATGATGATCCCATATCAATGCATACGTGAATACTACCTAAGTTGTGTAGCATACCATCGTCCGTCTAGGCCAACAATCAAGTTCTACGTAAGATTCCAAAAGCAAGTATTTACGGGTCGAACCACGACGCTTCCTTCCCAGCGGTTCTTTTGATTTGTAGTACTGATGCAATTAACCCCCAATCGGATCATTTCCTACGAACGAAGAACTCAGTGGGTGGCTGGCTGAATGGGGTGAACGGACTTATGATGGGGGTGTTGGTTTTGGAGGTGATGATGGATAAATGATACTAGCTGGGTAGTTAGTTATGTGGCGACTGATTGATTAAGTTGTGTAGGTAATGGTAGTGGTAGTGGTAGTGGTAGTGGTAGGAATATATAGTCTCTACAAAGTACTACAGTTAGACTGGATATAAGCAATGACCTCAAAGAAATCCTCAACAATCAATCAACTAATGACTCAGTCCAAGACATAAACGTCAGCGTCAAGATTAGAAATACAAGGAATCGAAACTACTTTTCTTTCCCTTCTCATGCGCATTGAATGGCATTGTGTGTCTCGTATTCTCATTGTTATTGCTACGAGGTTACATCCATACATCCCATCCCATCCCATCATCACACTTCTAGTATCCAATCGATTTTCAAAAATGCTAAGATCCTGCAGGGCTGAGAAATAGCATCTTACCCTGTTAAGGGATTAGTCTGACGTCGGTTCTGAGTTAATGATTCAGGGAGTGAGTTACATCTGGGCCGCCTGAAACTTAACCGAGTTGGCTTTCATCCCTAACAGGCCTATCATGTAGCTTCTATGGTGTTTCCTGCTGAAGGATGACGATTATGGTGGTGATGAGAAGAAAAAGTGATGGAGTGATGGATGGATATTAAGTTTCCGGGGCCATGTGATGGGAAGTAAACTACTTTAACCGGTTTCGGGGACTGTTGGATGCGAATAATCAGGATCATTGTGTAGGTCACGCTACTTTGTGTAAATTTTTGATGTACTGTTTCGTCAGGTGTGAGTGTGTGAATGCTCGACAGATGATACCATTATGGAGTCGATAGGTAGTCGGCAGGGGATGAGGAAGAGTCATATGTGATGAGATTATGTTGATCATGACGATGGATGGGGTAATTTTTGTTGCTTGCATGACCTGTATGTAGCAGGGAAGGTTATTTGGGATGGATGGTGTTAAGGTTCTATGTTAACAAAGTAGGATTTTTGGTAATGTGCTGGGACTCGAACTGAGAGTAAGTGATACTAGGTAGCTTCAATCGCTTAGAGTTCACCCGTGGTCCTTTCCCTCACTCTGGGTGAGAGGAAAGATGAACTTAAGAGGCTAGTGGCACGAGGTTGAAGAAAAGGCCTCGTGGAAGAGAAGAGTAAAAGTAAAGTATAAGTAAAGATGATGATGGTTCAGAGTGATGACTGATCAGTGATTGATAGATATGATTTGATGCAGCCGGTGCAGAAGATTATCAGTTCCTGGGCGGGTCTCTATTGGTTTTGAGAGGGAATAATTGGGGTTGTCCTTGCTGATGGGGGATGCCAAATGATGGGGAAGGGAACAGAGCTGATTCGAACTGTGTATTGTTCAGTTCTAGTCACCTGTTTGCCATCTTACTATATATAGTTATGGATTTCCAGGGTTAGGCATGTCTGTGCTGAAGGATGAGGCTGTTGACTTTCTGTTCTTAGCGATGGCAGAGTGAAGTAAATGCCAAAACCCTGTGAGTCAGATTAAGTTGTCAGCGTTGAATTCAAAGGAAAAACCGTGTGTAGCTGTAACGGAACGAATTACTGAGTTTGGATGGAGTCGAGTCTTTTCTTCAGGCGCCGCCGGGTTTGTTGAGGGATGCATCCGCCCGTGAGTTAGTACTTTTATGGGGGGAAGGATGATGGTGAACACTATGAGTTACATGCATACGAGATTGATGGATGGATGGATTGCTTGATTGATCAATCAAGCAATCAGTCAAATCAATCAATAGATTCAATAGTACGCGCATAGTCATGGTTACTTACTCACTGCCCTGAAAGTACGAAAAGGTACAGTAAGTGAGAGAGGCAGAGTGTGAGTGAGTTGGTAACTGTCCACCACCTATCTGCAGTATGCAATACGCGTCTCTTCCCACTTCTTGCCCAGTTCTCACTAAAGAGTTAAGTTGATAGACTAGAAGAATAGCTTCGATACTACCAAATACGCCCAGCTGCTGTTTGGCTTGGGGGCCAGTTACTACCGTAGTAGTAGAACGGCAGGGCACACGGGATGGACATGGAATGTTCGCCGCCACCCACTCTGCCCACATCCTAGTTAGTCAGTACATCGAACAACCATGACCCCGGTTTGGATCTGGTCCGAGTGAGATTATCGATCGATTTGAGGGATGGCGAATCAGTTGTGTGCATTAAAGACTTTGTGGGAAAGACAGTGCAGTGGTTCACACAAAACCACCTTGATGAATGAATGAATGAATGAATGACTGGGTGATGGAGGGTCAACTAAGCTTTACCCCATTTGCTCTTGAAGGAAACGGAAAGTGACCCTTTGAGGGGGGAGGGGGGTTGCCGTATTATTACGCGGTATGGGTGGGGAATGTGAGTTGGCCGCCGTATCAAATCCCCAATGCCTCACTGCGGCTAGGCCAATAGTGGCTCGGGCCAAGCCTGAGTCTTTCCCCACCGTCGGGTCTGGACAAAGGTTGTATTGTGACGGAAAGATTGGACAACCAGGGTGAGGAGTAAAGTGAGAGGGAAGTGAGCAGAGTGTAAGAGGTGTTAAAATTAATGGAGAGTATGAATACATCAATAGAATGGAAAGGAGAGATACACAAGTTCCCCCCAAGATGGAAAAGTACAACATAGAGAACAAGACAGAGAATGGAAAAGGAGGTATGCTAGAAATCTGGTGAGGAAAAAAGGGAAAGTTTAAAAGAGGGAACCCAAATACCACACGGAGTGTACGGTACGGTCACAGCCACGTGACAGACCGCCTGCCTGGTCTGCAGCGGCACTTTGCCTTCTTCGAACTTCCTCCTCCCCGTTTCTCTTTCCTTCTCGTCCTGAACCCAAACCCTGCGAAGCAAACGCGTTACTCGATTTGGTCATTCTCCCTCCCCCTCAAAAGCATCATTCCTCTTTGGGCATTCGTCTTCACGTCCCCCAGACTTCTTCCTTTCCTCTCATCTACCATTCTCGTCATTCACCTCTCTCTTTTTCCTCCATTCTAATTCCCCCCTAGTCTCATCATGGCCGACATCACTGCCGTCGGTGAGGAGAACCCTTCTCCTACTCAGGACGACCTGCAGCAGGCCGCCGGTAACGGCGCCGCTGACAACCGCGGCACCAAGCGCTCTCGCATGAGCGCCGACGACGACGACGATGATGATGACAAGCCCGGTCGCGAGCGCAGAAAGATTGAGATCAAATTCATTCAGGATAAGTCGCGTCGCCACATCACCTTCTCCAAGCGGAAGGCGGGTATCATGAAGAAGGTGCGTGCTGTCGCGTCTCTGCAGCCTCATCTCTCCCCTTCGTTATCGCCGTCAATTCTGTCGCCAACTCTAGTCTTTTCATGATGCGTCTTTTCTCGTCGTTGTCAAGCTTGTTTTGCACGTTGTCTGCCTGGAACTATTGCCGTTGGATCGGTGCTGACGCCTCAATGCGGTCGCAAAACAGGCCTACGAACTCTCCGTTCTCACAGGTACCCAAGTACTCCTCCTGGTGGTGTCCGAGACCGGTCTCGTCTATACTTTCACCACCCCGAAGCTTCAACCGCTGGTGACCAAGGCTGAGGGCAAGAACCTCATTCAGGTGAGTGCTGTGCCACTGCTTCCTCTCGTCTACGCGAGTCGAACTCAACGCGACTGACTCCCTCCGTTTCCCATGTACAGGCCTGCCTGAATGCACCTGATCCCACTACCAATGAGAATGGCGTTGATGCGCCCGAGGTGCCGGCTGAGACGCCAGAGGATGTCAGCCACAGCAATGTCAACCCTCAACAGTCGAATATCCCCCGTCCCGCCGGTATGCACCCCGGCTACATGACGAACGAACAACAGCAGCAGATGGCCTACTACCAGGGCCTTCAGCAGCAACAGCAGGCAGGAGGACAGTATCCTGGCATGCCTGTGGGTAACCGGATGCCACCTCAGCACCAGCCCACGGCGTAAGCGGTGGCTATGTGTCTTCATGCCCCGCGTTTTCAAGCACCTGAGGGGCCCAGACAGTTGTTCGCATCCTTGTCAACTCCAGCGCGTGCAGCTTTCCTCTACGGCCTTCCTTTGATACCCAACGATTTGTTTCCAGACATAATTCATACTATTAAAACCGGTCTACAGTGTTGTACCGCCGCGCAACTCAGAACGAAGAACGGAGAGATGACCTTATAGTAATCTGTGTATAGCCTGACTCGTTGGTATTGCAGTTTACACACACACCTGAGTCGCTAGCCTCGGTGTTCGCAAGATGCCTCGTGCTATTTGTCGTGTTTCACCGAAGACCCTCCCTATAAAAGCCAAAAAATAGCCAATCGAAAAAAAAGGGAAGAACAAAAAAAAGAAGAAAAAGGAAAATGAAGGCCAGGCTGCACGACTGAATCTTGAAGGATGCAAGAGACTTCGATCTGGGCTCCCCAGGCTATTAATTGTTTTTCTTCGTTGCTCACATCTCCTAATCCTTTTCCTAGACGACGGTGAAAGTGGCGGTGTTTCTGGTGCTTTTACCCTACTCTTTTTTCCTTGTTTCTTTTCTTCTCTCTATTCCTACTGGCGAAGTGGTTATCTGTTTATCTTTCATAAATTGTTGTTTTCGTCTTGCGTTGATTAATTGACCTCCCTTGATTTCCACATGTGATTTATGCCCCCCTTGCGCCAGGCTCGTCAGCCGCGATTCTCCCTCCCCCTTCGACAATGATCCTTGGCTTGCGGGCAAGTTCGAATGACAGCTCCGGAAGCAAGAAGGGTGAGAGAGGGGCGGGGTCACGAGCCAGTTGGACGCAAGATTGAGGGGGTGTTATTTGATTGAGTAACTTGATATGATGTTGGATGGATAACCTTCATCGGGTAAGAAGTATGTCATGTATGGTATGGAGAAAACCGGAACTATTACTATTTGTCCTGCTATGCTACACTTATGACCCTTGCCCAATAGATAACTAAACTACATACCATACCAAGTAGTCAGCAGCAAGCCGTAGATCATCAGTTTGCCCCTCACCCACTGCGCCCTATCTATGGGTACCCTTATGCACATTGTCATGTACCATTGAACATATCGGGATGGATGTTCAGGTGTCCTAAGTAGTAGACGAAGAAGAGAAAAAGCCATCTCATATACATCTATCTCTTGAACAGACAGAAGCTTCTAACGGAGCCATGTTGATAGACATAATACCCACCAGACAGAACTATAGTAGTGAAAGGGGAATGATACTACGAAAGTGATATAGTATGCCAGCTCACTACTTAGTTCTCTAAATCTCGTGACCTGGTATATGTTTATCCACCTATCTAATTATCTATCTATCCCGTGACATGGCGATCCGGTTCTGTATGATGTAAGGACGACTAGGTATGAGAAAACTAATGAATCATGCAGGAGAAAATTGAGGAGAGGGTGGGGTAGTAGGGAAGAAGGAATGAGCAATATAAACTTTTCATTTTGTATTAGTATGTATTGTATCTCTTATTTGGTTCGTTCAATTTCTAGTCAAAAAGACAAGAAGTAGATAGGAAGTATTGATGCTCTGGTGTGGTGTAAACTATGAGAGAATAGGTTTGTTGGTGTATCCTTATAGATAGATAAAAGATGGTATGAAGTTATTGTACATTGTTTGAAAGGAAACAGGAAGGGGTTATCATTGATGTGTATTTATGGGGTGGGTCTAGTGGATATAACCAAGAGGTCTGGGATAAGATTGGAATGTGGATAAGATGGCGGTGCAGGAAGCGACGGAATGGATGTCTACTTTCATTCTGTGCGTTGGTTGGGACTGGCTTCAAGGTCGGGGCCCGGACTGGATGAGCTCTGACGTCTTTCTCGATTGCTACCGGTCCATTGAGTGAGGTATTGAAGACCGCTTCGCCAGGCTCCGCGGAGAGTGCTCCTCGGACCTGCGAGGAGATTCGAGTACCCGGCTGATGAATCTGCGTCGGTGAGGGATTCGCGGCGACGATGCCCCGATACTAGGTTGTCTGAGCGGTCGTCCTGGGTGCCGTAGCCGGTTGCGTGGGGTTGGGGCTTCGAAAGGAGACTGCGGTTCTCTGGAGCAGGTGCTGATGTTCGCCGTTGCTTGCGACGCCCCTGATGTACGGCTTGTGATGTTCTGCGCGGGTTCCAGGTATTCTGGTTGACTGAAATGGTGCTGGAGCGGCGAGGTCCACGCTGGAAACTGTTTCTCATTCTGCTTCTTGACTGGGCCGAAGGTGGATCTCCAAATGTGCGACTGCGCCTGGAGGAACGCATCATAGCTGCGGCATAGTCAAAGTCAGAGTCATCCAACTCTGCCCAGATGGAAGCTGGATCGAGATCTGCCGTGGAGTCCTGCGGACTCAATGAGGATTGAGGTAGAGGCAGACTGGGTGCTCTCTTATGTATACTTCGCCGAGGAATTTGAGCACTGCGTAAGAGGGGCTCACGCTCCAGATCCTCGTGGCTGTCCCTTCCCAGACTAAGGGGGGAGGTTTCATGCTCCTCGACGACAGCCATTCCAGGACCAAGGCCAGTCTGAGACGGTCCGACAACAGTCACAGCCGCATGGCTGTCTATGACCTCTAAGCGCCACGACAAGCAGAGGACACCTCCAAGTAAGACAATTGTTCCAAGCGATATCAGCCCAGCATGGAAGCCTGCCAGCTGGGACATTTGCCGGAAGTATATTAATCCATCTATGATGGCGATAATATTATAGATGCAGAAGACGAATGGGTACAGGACACTGGTGCTGCACAGCTTCAGGCCCCGATGTAGATAGAATAGTTGAGAGAGGGCAAGACCGATCATGGCGAGAAGAATGACCCAAGATTGCCAGCGATCGAATTGATTGACGCGATCCACGACTGTCCGAACGAGGAGCTCCACGGCTGATTTAGCGAGCAGAAGAGAATGCGCCGATAGGATACCGCTGATCATGCCATAGCATAGACCGCGGATCAGTCGAACACGTCCGTGGGAGATTTGCAAGTGCGGCCTATATGAACCGCGTGTGCCGGGGTATTTAGAACGAGATGGAGAAGCCAGGAATTTCAGCAGGCGGGAGCCGAGATAGATGACCAGCACCAATACGGCCGTCCCTGCCATCCAAAGTATAAAGTTTCGACGCTGCAGTAGCTCCAAAAGCTGATCGAGAGTATGCGCTGGCTCCCCCACGGCGCCAAAAACTGCTATAAGGAGCGCGCCGATGCAGACCAAGACTGTGCCGATGAGAGAGTATCTGGTGAAAGCTTCACCCAGGATCAAAGTAGCAAATATGGTATTGAAAACAAGCCCGGACTAGTACAGAATATGTTAGCGGCGCCCGGGAAATCTACCATATGATTCAGAGAAGTCACTGACTGCTTGAAGGGTTGAAAGCACCGGAAGCGGGAGGGTAGTTATCTGGATGGTGCTGCCGACGATGTTTGCAATGACGAACATCAGCATCCCCAACTACGTAGAATCAGCAAGGCCGGTTCGTAACGGATGCATCATATAGGGAGGAGCATAATCTGACCTGCCATCTCCGACGTTTGTAGGGTGGTCGACGTATATCGTACGGGTGTTTCTCGTCCTCGAGGATATGCGACTTGCGTTGTAGGGTCAGCCCGATGGCCTGGAGACTGGTCGAGATCAACCCGACAACAACCCCAACCTAGAACCGTCATCTAATTAGCACAGCAGCTCGATATGAATAAACCGAGAACACTGGAGAGGGAAGAACAAACCGCGACACTCCCCTGGGGCGATAAGTCACCAAGATTACCCATCTCGGATATCCTCGTGCATTGGTCGCTGAGCCGGGGGACAAAGACCAGACACGCATTAGACAGGATACGACAGGACTAGTAGGACCGACTCCATTGTCCAGGGCGACGTAGTAACCAAATGAGAGAGAAAAACCAGACCGAACCGAATGGCTGTAGGGAAGAAGCAGCAGTAACTAGAGGGGGAAAGCGGGAGAGCAAGTGAGTTCCTGAGCGGCCGCCAAGTTGCGAATCGATCAGCAGATCCGCCAAGTGCAACGTTTCCCTCCGCTGCTTGTTGTTGCTGCTTGTTCTCCCTGTATTCCCCCACCCAGTCACTCACTCACCCTCCCCTCTCCATACATTCCTGCCGGTCCAGGTGAGTAATAATAGTCCCCGACTTGTTCTATTTCCAATAATATACCGGTCGCGATCCATGACCGTTGACTATTTCCACCCCCTTGATCTGGCGCAGCAGGCTGACGTTGATTGACCGCCCCCCAAGAAGGCACCTCCGCATCGGGAAGCTCAACTGACGTTGTCTCTTCCAAACCCCCCACATATCGATACCTTTCGCTCTCCCCTCTACAGCTTCCGGCCTATACAATTACTCCATCGTCACCATGTCGCAAAGTCATGCTTTGTCCGATGATCAGGTTTGTCGCTCGATTTCCGACTAGGGACCATGCATGTGCCCGCTTCCGAGCTGAGCTGATACCATTATCTCCATCCAGGTTGCGGGCGAGCTCCGCAAGATGACGGCCTTCATCCGGCAGGAAGCGCTGGAGAAGGCCCGTGAAATCCAGCTCAAAGCTGACGAAGAGTTCGCCATCGAGAAGTCCAAGCTCGTTCGCCAGGAGACTGCCGCCATCGACACTCAGTATGAGAAGAAGTTCAAGCAAGCTTCCATGTCCCAGCAGATCACTCGCTCCACTCTCGCCAACCGCACCCGTCTTCGTGTTCTTTCTTCTCGCCAGGAACTCCTTGATGATTTGTTCCAGAAGGCTCGTGATCAGATCTCCGGTATCGCAGCTAAGGATGCGTCGAAGTATGAGGCTGTGCTGAAGGGCTTGGTTCTTGAGGGCTTGTACGCTCTCAATGAAGACAAGGTGTCTATTCGGGCGAGGAAGCAGGATACTGATGCTGTGAAGAAGGCCATTGAAGAGGCCGAAAAGGAATTCAAGGAGACCGTCGGCAAGGAGACGTCTGCGGAGCTGGACGAGGAGGAGCCGCTGCCCGAGGGATCGTAAGTCCCCTTTCACCTTTCTTACCTCCAAATTTGTCCCCAATATGGTCGTCTAACCTGGTGAATTATAGTGCTGGTGGTGTCATCATTATCGGTGGCCAGGGCAAGATCGAGATCAACAACACGTTCGAAGAGCGGCTGCGCCTGCTCGAAATCGACGCCCTGCCCGCCGTCCGCGAGACGCTGTTCGGTAAGAACACCAACCGGAGGTTCTACGATTAGACCAATTCTACGTGTCACTTGCCAAGCGAATTTACAATACCTGAACCCGTTTCGTCGTTGCAGCCTGTATCTATGTACTCCGGTTCTTTTTTCAGGAGAGCACCATAGCCTTGTATAAAGTCCTTCAATTCATTCTTATCAGAAACTCAACAGAGTTCATCCCATAACGTCGGCCTGCTTTGAATGTTCCGAGCGTTTACCGGAATCAAACATGGGCATGTGATAGAATCACCTTGGTCCGAGAACCTACTATATCGTATATATCATAGGCATTGAATCCGGAGACTTTCGTGCATGTTTCACAAGTATAATCTATAGTATGATGAGCAACCCAATATGGCTCAACTATAGGGCGCAGCAAATTCCCAACAATGACCTCCAGGATAAAAGTGATAGGTTCCACGGGACTAATCAATAAGGTACCCCGAACAAATTAAGAGCAAAACCAATGAACAACGATGCTGTAGACATAATCAGCCTAACGCCACATATCATCATCTGTCGACTGTGACCCCAAATCTAGCCTTCTCCCACCCTCGACCTTTATCTCCCCTCAATCTCGAAAGTTCATAAAAAGCACCTGGACCGGCCAGTGTGCATGCTAATGCGAACATCAAGGCGACTGACTGCATAATATACCTCCGACGAGCTATCATTATTGTGAAAGACCGGCGTAACCGGTACTGTTCGATGAGCGAGCAGACTGTCAAAGACTCTCAATGGAAATAGCTGATATATCTCGGCGGTGGAAGACACATTAAGATTCTGTGTCATGTGGCCGGAATGGCAGCTCACCGTTGCCCTTCGGATCTCTGAAGAATGACTTGAACACGCCCTTGTTCTCTCTCCTTTCCTCAGGGACCCCAAGAATCGACTTTTTCGGACGTGGTTTTGTCCTGACGGAATATACGACTCGATAATGTAGAGCCTCGATAGCTTCCTTGGCCAACGTCCGTTTCAAGTGGGATGCACCCGAATCCTCAATGGAAGTGAAGATGATTTTAAGCCGATCAGAAAGGGCATCAACGGCAGAATTGAATTCTTTCTCAGCTTCTTTATCTGGAAAGTTGACTTCATACCGTCCAGAATCGATGGCAATATTAAGAAGGATAGTGACAGCTCCAAGTTCCCCGTAATCATACTCATGCTGCCCTTTCCCTTTGTACCACTTCACATCGAACCGCTGTTGACTGAGAATGCTGGTCATGCGCTTCAGATCGATGAGCATTTCTGGCGGCTCACTTAGTGGTGAAGCATCATTTGTCAAGAAGGACACGGCGAGGCGGCACCGTAGGAGAGCGAGCCAGTCTGATGTTGGAAGTATATGCCTGACCAGGCGACTCTGTGACGTCGCATCTTTGATTGTGTCGAAGGCAGTCGTACAGACACGATGCACCTGGATATGTTAGCGAGGTATGAGAACCTGAATGAAACTCGATCATACCATGTCATCGGCCGTATCGTCAGGGGCACTCTCTAGCATGGTGACGATGGTTCTCTCCAGTTCAGAACAGACCAAAAAATTGCTGGTCAAGGAGACATCAAGAGTGAGACGGAATAGTAAATTCAATGCGCGCTCTCGAGTATCCTCTGCAAACCTAATACAAATGTTAGCATTCGGAGACAGAACAGGATATTCTAAAACTTACAGGTCTGCAGCTCCACTGAGCAACTCAAGAACAGAGACCAACATTCCCTCACGTAGGGAATTGCTCTTCACATTATGTTCTGCATATTACTGTCAATGAATGCTTGTGCTGAGGTTGATGCAGTGACGTACTGTTAATGTGAGCATCTGGGACAATCTTTTCAGACGTCGCCAATGCTTGGGAAGTGGTTCCCAATTGTTGGAAAACTTGATCGATGTCGGCCGGTTTTATGAGGGACTTGACCCGCTCAGGGTTCACATTCTAAGCGATATCAGCAAAGTGTGCCACGATCATCCCAACTCGTCATAGCCACTGACTCTAAATGCTCTACAAAGCGCTTGCCTGATGCTGTCTTGCGTCTCCGAGGGTACTGAGGAACTGTAAGCGATGAAAATATTTCCGCAGGATTCCACACCAACCAGCTTTGAAAACCCACGAGATGAACCCGTCCGGCAAGTATGACCGCGATAGAGCGAAATCGACAATGCCTGAGTGGAGTGCCCGCTCCCTGGAGTGTCTCTCTGCAAAGCAATTCAGCACCGAGACTAAAAACAGCATGCTTCGTATACTAACCTCGTAGTCGAAACATAAAACCGTCCTGATCTATGCACTCTTTGGGAAAGTCAACCGCAGGGGGCAATTCGCTTTTATAGTCAAAAAAGTGCCATGATTTCTCTAGGTCAAGAGCCTCTGTTCTTCGGACAGCATCTAGAAGACGTCGCAGCCCCATTTCGTCGTCTTGATCGCCCAGAGCCGATGCGAGAGTATCCTCATTAAGCTGTGTGGTCGGTAAATGCGTGCTGTGTTTCACATCATCCTGCTTTCCGTTCTTTCGCATGTCTTCTTTCTCAAAAGCAGCTTTCAGCTTTGCAATACCAGCCTCGGTTTCATTATCATCAACTGCTTGGACAACAAGCGAGTCTAGCGTATTGCTGTATTTTGGGACCTTTACTGGAAAGCGGGACCGGTTATTTGACTTTGCGCCGTTCAAGCTGCCATTCCGCAAGGTCATTCCTGGATTAGACGTATCATTCTCTCTATCTTCTTTGCTTACAAAACCAGGCGGCTTAACAATCCTCGCAAGAAGATCGTCTGGAGACTCGAACGAGCTTAATGAATCTGTATCCTCACCATCCGAGCTGATAACAACCTCCTTCCCGTTCTTCATGACACGCTGTGAGGAGTTGAAACTTGTTCCAGGAGATGGATCATTAGCTGCAGACTCTGTGCTGAGGAAGCTGTGATGAAGCCCGGCGTCATTATCGCCATCCTTTATGGATTGAGATAAAGACAGTGCCAGCTGAGAGCCTGGCTCCGCTAATGAGGAATAAGAGGGGCCATTTGAATGAAGAGATTGCGGGGACGAATGAGATGTCTGATCGGGGTCATTGACTCGGTCACTGGTCTGAGCGCCTGGGTTCACTGCTGCAAAAGCCGGACGGTTGAAGAAACTGGTAATGCGTCGCATGCCGGACACTTTGGTGAAGGGGGATATATTATGCTGTAGAGTATGACCCGCATGCTTTGTTCGGTAGATCTCCGCACTTAGCCTCTGTTGGACACGCTGGGCGCGTGCCACAGTGCGCGTGGTCACATGATCATGAGTCAGCATGTCTATTCATTACCCAAAACGGCTACAGGAAATTGACTGGTATCGACTATTGATTTTGAATACCTGGGCAGTCAGTAGTACTGCTGGTAGTAGTTTAGCCGATTTGCCAAAGACAGTTGTTCTCTGTCACTGCTAACTCGATCTATTTTTTTTTCCCAGATTGTGATGTACCGCGCCGATTCACCAGTGGTGCGTCAGCTTCTCCATGCGCCATGACCGTTAATGTAGGGGTAGTCCAATACTCCGATGATTATGCGTCCTTGATTCCATTCCATCGATCCTTCCTGGGTGATTTGCACACTGTGTTCTCGCTTGTTCTAGACTACTAACCCTTTTCTCTGTGGAAGGCTCCCTGAAAGTCTGCTTGACTGTCGACCTCCTTTTGATCGTTGCTATTCAGACCCCAAGCTAGCCATGTTCACTACCTGTGTGTCACTGGGGCCAAAAGGAGATACAACTTTGTTACAAGGCCCTGCTGACTTGCTAGCTTCGATAGTCACACAGCTGGCTCAATCTGCCAATAGTCCGTTCATCACTACTCACAGTAGACAGAAAAGATTTTTTTTTCCTTTCGCAGGATCGTATTTGGGCGCGGTCCAGGGGTGGAAAAGTGGTGCAGATCTATCTCTAAAGTACTTTGTAGTCCCCACACCGGTTCACGGTTGATCTGACCATCTGACGCCAATCTGTCATATCTCTGCTTTTGGGGGCTGGAAGATGCCCACCAGACTGAAGTACGTGGCCAGGCTTAGATTGCTGGATTCTTGTTTTCTCGATACATTTTCCATCTCTCCTGGCTGTGCCATGTGGATGTGGATGCAGCTGCAAGCTGCGGTCGGTCTTGTTTGGAAGCCGCCGGGTTCGAAATTGGCAAAGGGGTAAGTAGAATCGCCTAATGAAACATTTTGCAGGTATACATTTCGAGGTCCGTTTTTGTACAAATGAAAGATTATGCTGAAAGCACAATCATTTGTCGATGGAGATATTGCGGCCCCCCACGGCCAAGGGGAGAGACTGTAATGCGAAATCGCCAGTTCGTGAGGTATTTAAAAATGGGAGAATCATGGTAAATTAGCCGAGCTTTGGGGGTACGTAACGGAACTGCCTACTCAGCCTCCCGCCCAGGGTGGACATCGAGATTTGTTTGTGCTAATGGAAACGGGCATATAAATATGTAACATAAAAAGTGGAGGAAGCGTCTTATTGAATGTCTACAGCAGAAAACAAGCGATTCCTGCACATATGGCTAAACATACCTCCACGCTCATTGTTAGATAATCGGGGATAGGATCTGGCTCACTGAAACAGTCTCGGAGTGATCTTCTTCTAGCCCCCGTAAACAGCAAAGGTTAGTATGAACTACGCGCAATAGGTATGGGACCACACCAAACCGCATCGGGAAGACTGGCCTCCCCACTAACAGAAGCAGCCAAGACTGGAAAAGGAGTAGAGTCTGCATGAAGCATGACTGGGCAAAAGGGGAACGAGAATGTCAGGTACCCGTGCTTGGGGAACAGTAGACATGAGTGTACTGGAGTCGGATGCTTTTATATCCGGCATTCTGAAGCGTTCTGGTGCTAGACCATGCACAGTCCATGTGCAATTCTACAATGCAAGACTAGGAGCACCGTTGATTCAATATATGCAGTTAGCACGGATTTCTGTGGTACCTCCGAATCTCCGCGCTCCGTAGGGTGGACCTATCCATGGATGCCATCAGCATGTGCCGTCCCGGACGGCTGTTAGCCTGTTTCAGGCTCCGTATCCCGACCCAGACTCGCAAGCGCCCCCCAAGGTACGGAAGGAGAGGCCTACCAACTAACGCGACAGCTTCCGTTCCATGAAGGGTCGTTGAGTGGTCCGGCCTGAACATATCTACACGCTGTTGTCTTGACTATCCATGCATGTTACATCCGGGCGGTTCAATCCCTCCTTTAGGGGGGATTAGAATGTATCATCGCTGGGCTGGCGGGAGATCAGCTTCGAGACAAGGAGTTGCGACTGGAGGTACCAATACTTGCCATGGCATCCGATTGGTGTGCAAATGAAATGCTGAAGAGATGAAGAAGGGTCAACCGGAGACGCTGTGTCTATAAATAATAAATCAAGAAATCGTTCGCGCAGTCTAATGAAAACTGGCCATATTCATGGAAGACCGACAGTTCCGTCGAAGAGGGGCCTGGATACACACAAAGTAGTAAGAAGACCAACGTCGAAAGGGCTCCATTCTGATCAGCGTTCATATGTACCCATGCGCAGTCTAGGGCGAGGCTGGTAAACCCGGTCGGAAATTCCACACACCATGAAATCCAATAATACACAGTAGTGAATTCCAGATTACATGTGAGAAGAAATAGCTATGATAGGGAAGATCATCGTCGTTCTCAAGCATCATAATCCATGCGCAGGAGATAGTAGTGGTGATTGCTGTTGTTGTGCTCGAATGTACTCCATAGCAGGGGTGAGGCAGGTACCTGACGGGAGCCCGGAACAGTACAGCATCCATAGGTAACCGCCTCCCCCATAGGCCTACTCACTTACTACATGGATCATATCCAGGAGTTGCTTAGTAGTTTCCATGTAGATGAAACATGAACCGAAAGTCCATCTGATTGGAGACCGACCCATCTGCCCGGTTATATTTGAAAATTTACAAAGTCGGGGAGGCATGTTTACCATACGGAGCTGACAAACCCTGGAAAGTTACACTTTTTGGCACTCCCCGTATTGTGCCCGTATTACACAGCCGTCGTCTTCTCCCCCCGGGGGCCTCCAGGAGGGATTGTCGGCTGGGCTGGCTCTCCAAGAAACTGACGCTGTCCTTAAGCCTCTTTCTTACTCTTGCCTCTGGAGGACCGGTTCCTTTTTTGCATGAGTTTCTTGGTTTTCTTTCTTCTCGTTTGCTTTGCCTTCGACATTCTTTCGTTAATGGCACACGAATGCATAATCCTCAGTAACCCTCGATCTTTTCCCCCTCCGCTCGTTTCACCTTCCTGACTGCCTTGTGTTTTGGGCGTCCCTTGGTGTTAATTGACGCTTCATTCCTTCTCCTTCACGTTTGACCTGCTTGAGCGCCTACCAGCATTAATTGCGAACCCGTCTACCCACCAGTTCCTGTAAATACGGCCTTCGATTTTCTACTGCACTGAAAACAAATCCGCGACGGAAATAACGAGTCGATTCCGCGAGCTGGCTGCGCTGCCGGGGTCCAGCTCGTTGCTGCGGATGCTATCCTTTCAACGGTTTAATCAGCACCTCGCTCGTTTTATGCCCTTGCTAGGGCTGACAGTAGCCTAAATGGCTTCAATCGACTTGGGCGCAGAGTTCAATGAAAGTGGTAACGACATCCGGGAGGTTAGCAGCAACGTTTCGAAACCGACAAAGCGCCAACGATGGGCAACACAACGGAGAGCCGGCGCAGGCGGCACCCGCAAGCGCGTCTCAATAGTGGATCGCCTGCATAAGAAGAATCTGGATGCGAAGGAGGAAATGCCGAAAACAAGTACAGCCAATTCCCCTACGTCGATGAAATCACCTACTTCTCAACAAACAACTACAAGCACGGAAAGCCCTACGGGGTCTGGCAATAGACGCATTTACTTCAACATCCCTATACCGGAAAGCGAAAGGGACGAAGACGGCCGTCCCAAGGCAGCGTATCCTAGGAACAAGATCCGGACCGCAAAATATACTGCTTTGTCTTTCGTTCCGAAAAACATTTGGTTTCAGTTCCAGAACATTGCAAATATCTATTTCCTCTTCATCATTATTCTGAGTGTATGACCCTATCCTCGAGATATAGTGCAGAGTACCGGAAATGCTCATTGAAAGCTCTAGTTTTTCTCGATCTTCGGCGTCTCTGACCCCGCCCTTAATACCGTGCCTCTCATCGTCATTGTTGTGCTTACCTCGATCAAAGATGCCATCGAAGACTTTCGGCGTACAGTCCTGGATAACGAACTAAACAACTCGCCCGTATATCGCTTAATAGACTGGACCAACGTGAACTCGACCGAGGATAACGTCTCTCTCTGGCGTCAGTTCAAGAAAGCGTGTACTAGGGCGACGGTTCAGACCTACAGGGCGATGAAAGGCCTGGCCCAAAAGAATAAGAACTCTCAGCAACAAGTCAAAGACAACCGGCGGTTAACTTTCATGACGACCGTTTCGCCAAGGGCTTCGATGTCTTCCGAGCAGGATGAGGACGACGCTATCCAGATGACTCCTGTTTCTACACCAGCACCAGAGGCACGCCCAGATTGGCCACTTCCAGTTGGCAACAATGAGCAGTATTTGCATCCTGACAAATTGGCTCGGGATAGCTTGGCTACTCCAGCTCCTGCAGCTCATCCTCCCAAAGGCGGCAGTATCGTGGATATGTCAAAGCAGACTCTGGGTAATGCTCGTTTTAAGCGCGACTTTTGGAAAAATATTCAAGTTGGAGACTTTGTTCGTTTGTACAATGGGGATCAGATTCCGGCTGATATTGTGCTGCTCTCGACTTCCGACCCGGATGGCGCGTGCTATGTGGAAACAAAGAGTTTGGATGGTGAAACGAACTTGAAAGTCAGACAAGCTCTAAACTGTGGGCGTCAAGTCCGACACGCTAGGGATTGCGAAAAATGCGAGTTCGTGATTGATAGCGAGGCTCCTCATCCGAATCTGTATGCCTACAATGGTGCCTTACGCTGGGAACAGCGCGATCCAACCTACTCAGACGCACCTCGAAAGGATATGGTTGAGCCGATAACAATCAACAACGTGCTCCTCCGCGGTTGCTTCCTTCGCAACACAGAATGGGCCCTCGGGGTCGTTCTCTTTACCGGAGAGGAGACCAAGGTCATGCTAAACTCTGGCGAAACTCCTTCCAAGAAACCTCGACTCGCCAAGGATCTCAATTGGAACGTCATATATAACTTCATCATTCTATTCATCATGTGCCTTATCTGTGGTATAGGCAACGGGGTTGCTTGGGGTAAACCTGACGCATCGCTTGACTTCTTCGATTTTGGGTCATACGGAAGTACACCTGCTGTTACTGGTCTCATCACCTTCTGGGTCGCAGTCATCCTATTCCAGAATCTGGTACCTATTTCGCTATATATCTCGCTCGAAATTGTCCGAACAATTCAAGCTGTGTTTATCCACAGTGATGTCTTCATGTATTATGACAAGCTGGGGATGTCATGTGTACCCAAGTCTTGGAATATTTCCGATGACGTCGGTCAAATTGAATACATCTTTTCAGACAAGACCGGAACGCTGACCCAGAACGTCATGGATTTCAAAAAGTGCACCATCAATGGAGTCTCATACGGCGAGGCATTTACGGAAGCGCAGATTGGCATTGTTCGACGAGAAGGAGGTGACGCTGATGCTGTAGCCGCGAGAGCCCGCGAAAAGCTGGCTGCCGATACAGTCATGATGGTTGACATGCTTCGCAAAATGTATGACAATCCTTATATGCGTGAAGAAAACTTGACGTTCATAGCGCCAAGCTACGTCGCGGACTTGGGCGGCCAAGCTGGTGAGGAGCAACGGAAGGCAACAGAGCACTTCATGCTAGCCCTTGCAGTGTGTCATACTGTGATTACCGAGCATACTCCTGGCGATCCTCCGCAAATCGAATTCCAAGCGCAATCCCCAGATGAGGCTGCTCTTGTCAGCACAGCAAGGGATTGTGGCTTTACTCTTCTCGGTCGATCAAATGATGATCTTATTGTCAATGTCCTCGGCGAAGAGAGGACATATACAGTCCTTAATACTCTGGAATTCAACTCAACAAGAAAAAGGATGAGCGCAATCCTCCGCATGCCTGACGGTAGTATACGGCTCTTCTGTAAGGGTGCAGATAGTATCATTTATTCGCGTCTGGCCCCAGGTAAGCAGCAGGAGCTTCGGAAGACAACTGCAGAGCACTTGGAGATATTTGCCAATGAAGGTCT